GTGTAAGCTGCATTATACTTATATAAGATAGGTATAGATATTATAACTTATATCTAGATTTATAACTAATAATAGCAAAAGCTTATAGGATCTAATAATCCTCTAATAGATTACTACTAAGGAAGTATTACTACTATATAGGTAGTATCTCTTAGTGTGATTAAAGATAAGAGTATAAATACTATAAATATATTATAGCTATAGGCATACCTTAATAATAAATAGTTCTAGTATAGCTTACTTAAAGTAGCTAAATCTATAGACTCTAAAGAGTAGTAGCTACCTTAGCTATTTTATATAGTAAATAATATAATCTATTTTATAGATATAATAGGGCTTCTACTCTATTATTTAATAATCTAGGCCTAAGTAGAACTAAGTGGGAGTTACACTATATACCTAGTAGTATATTAATGGGTACTATATCTAGATAGTAATAAGAAGAATATGGATTTTATGTGCCTGGCACTTATATTAGTTGGCTATTTAGTACTAGACTAAGAGATAAAAGAGTATTAGATCCTATAGTAGAGGATCCTTCTCTATATAGAGTAATATTTAAGGTAGATATAAGTGGATTTCTTATAATTAGATAGGATAGCTACTAGTGATAAGGCTATAATAGACTTAGTTTACTGCCTTAGGATTCTCTATAGAGACTAAGGTAAGTTTAGTGAAGCTAAGGCGATATATAATTAAGCACTAGAAGGTAGGGAGAAGGTACTTAGATATAATTATATATTAACTCTTAATACTATTAATAATCTAGGTATTCTCTATAAGGAATAAGGTAAGTTTAGTAAAGCTGAGGTGATGTATAATTAAGTACTAGAAGGTAGGGAGAAGGCACTTAGGTATAACTATATATTAACCCTTAATACTATTAATAACTTAGGGCTTCTCTATAGGAACTAAGGTAAGTTTAGTGAAGCTAAGGTGATGCTTAACTGAGCATTAGAAGGGTATAAGAAGGTACTTAGATATGATTATATATTAACTCTTAAAACTATTAGTAACTTAGGTATTATCTACTAGAACTAAGGTAAGCTTAGTGAAGCTAAGGTGATGTATAATTAAGCACTAGAAGGTAGTAAGAAGGTACTTAGATATAACTATATATTGACTCTTAAAACCGTTAATAACTTAGGGCTTATCTATAGGGACTAAGGTAAGCTTAGTAAAGCTAAGGTGATGTATAATTGAGTACTAAAAGGTAGGGAGAAGGCACTAGGATGTGATTATACGTCTATACTTAACACTATTAATAACCTAGGGCTTCTCTATAGGGACTAAGGTAAACTTAAAGAGGTAGAAATAATACTTAACTAAGTACTAGAAGGTAGGGAGAAGATACTTAGATATAATTATGCCTTTACTCTTGAGAGCATTAATAATATAGGGAATCTCTATAGGGACTAAGGTAAGCTTGTTGAGGCTGAGGCGATATTTGACTGAGTATTAGAAGGGTATAAGAAGGCACTTAGATGTAATTATAAATCGACTCTTAATACCGTTAATAACTTAGGGCTCCTCTATAGGGACTAAGGTAAGCTTATTAAGGTAGAGGCGATATATAACTAAGTATTAGAAGGCTATAGGAAGGCACTTAGATATAATTATACGCTGACTCTTAATACTATCTATAACCTGGGGGTTCTTTATAAGGACTAGGGTAGGTTTAAAGAGGCTAAGAGAATGTTTAACTAAGCACTAGTAGGATTCTAGTCCGCCCTTAGATAAAGCTATTAAAAGATATAGACTATTATATAAGACTTATAGTTATTATACTCTAGCTAAGGTAAGGGCTACTGAACTATAAAATTATATATAGGCTGCCTAATTAAAATAGATTATTACTTAAGTAGACCTATAAAGAATGAATTAGTAGGCGAGATAGTACTTCTTAAAAAGCTTATAGCTAAATTCTGTAATGCTATCTAATTTCGTAAAGACTAGAGATAGTAAGAAAGTATAATTAGTATAGATATATTCTTAAGGCGAGATTAGTTCAGGCAATTTTTAGGCAGGTATAGGGAGCTAATTAATTTAATATAAACTAGCACTATATAAGGACATCTCTTTGTTATATCGACTTAGGTAGGTGTTTAAGTTTACTTAAGTACTAGACTTAGATTATACCCTGAGAGTGATGTGGAAGGGCTTAATAGATCTTATCCTAAGAGCGGCCTACCTGTCTTATAGTATATACTATATTTTCCTCCTCTATTGTCTACTTTGAACTAGATGATATTATCCTAGAATATAAAGCTGAAGCTGGTTCTTAGTCTTTGGGATGCGGAATTAATACCTAAGTATATAGCTAATATAACTTAGGGGTCTATTTAAACTATAGTTAAAATATTATCCTATTGCCCTTAGTAATATACTTTAGATAAATATTACTAAGGGGCTATTCCTTAAATTAAGAAATATATATATTAACGTTAGATAGGACTGCACCTATTTATGGTATTACTAGGCTATATAATATTTAATGCCTCCTAGGGGACTATATAGTGCTTCTTATAGACTGTATCTAATGAGAGCTTAGAGTGCTAAGGCATAAGGTATAAGAGGATAGGGTTACTTTTCAATGTTTGCAATAATTTAATTCTTCGTCTTTGTGATCATCTTTAGACTTATATCTCTGAACCTCTAGCGATAAAGGGTAATAATCCTTGTCATGACTGCGTTGTGGAGCGATAAGACTATCTTTACTATCAGAGTCTTTGGTATCTGTATCCCCCCATCCTTGTCTTGCACTATCCCATGTGATGATCTCCCCTCGTCCTAGCTTCGCTGTAAACCACCGTAGGTCAAGCTGCTTATTAGCAAGGCAAAGTTCGAAGACCTGCTAGATGAGGTAGGTCTTAGGGGTTATTAGAGTGCCAACGTATGATATATAACCGCTCCCAGCTAGTCAGACAGCATCAGGATAGAACTTTCCAGCAGCAGCTCTCCCGTCTAACCGTGATAGAGCCTGACTCTATGCCTATATATTTGATCATCCCTAACTAAGAATTTATTAAGCTATTAAGAGGGCTTGAAAGCTCTGTAGGCTATTATAAGCGCTTTAAAATCCTATAAGTATATAGTAACTAGGGTTGGCATATATCTAACACGCTAATAACTCACTAGAGTACGCCTGTCTCTATCCTCTCCGCTTTACCTAACCACCCCTAACAGTATATTAGCTTCCCTTCCTACGAAGTTGCTAAGCTATTATAAATAGTATAGAGATAGGTAAATTAAGGGCTAGTAAGTAGTACTTGAGAGAATATCCCTATAAGTGGTAGGTGGTCTTAGTAACCCCTAAATAAGGTAATAGTAACTTAGCCTCTATCAGGCGAGCTATTATATACTTTAGCTAGTCTGAGGACTAACTAGGTGAGTAAATTTATACTAGGAGCCTCTATATTAGCTTATGCTTATCTTAGAAAGGAAGCTAAAAATAGTACCACCCCTATAATATATAGGAGGAGGTATTAATTAGCTACTATAGTATTTCCGCTATTAGTTAACTATCTATCAGAGGCCTTATAAGAATATGTATTATTATATAATATTTAGCTATTACGTAAACCTTACTATATTATAGCGTTGTAAAGTGATCCTCTACTTAGGGTGTGCCTCTAGATTATTAAGCTTATTAGATCTTATAAGATGAAGATCTTAAGAGAAGCTATATAAGAAGAAAGATAGAACTATAAATAGTATTAGGGAGAATAATAATTATAAGTAGTATAGCGTTTTTATAATCCTCGAAATATAGTATAGCGATAGTTGGTTAATCTAGTAGAAGTAGAGCTTAATTCTAAATGAGATTAATAGCGTGGCGAGAGTAGATAAGGGGGGTAGGGTGAGGCTGACTATATTTATGAAGGAGGGAGAATCTAGTATAGGCTAAGGTAGAGGATAGGAGGAAGTAGATATTAAAGATATATGTTCATAGGATTGTATGTGGTCGATGTCTCTTATATGAGGGGTTATGTGATATATGGTCGAGCTGCTATATGATGGGCATATCTTGCCTGAATAGGTGTGGCCGCTAAACTGGAGGCAGCAGCGAGTCTATGGTTATTACTCCGTAGATGTAAGCTTGTCCTAGATCTTTTCTTATTCTATTGCGAACTCGGTCTAAGGGATGATATATCGTGGGTAGATCCGGCTAGTGGGGTCTGTCATATCTCCCTGTGTCGTCGAGGAACGGTGCGCGTTCCTCGGCTCCTTAACGTCGCTGTTGCTCTTTATCGCATTATTGATGTTCGTGCTAGGTATTACGCTCTATAGCTTCTTATTAACTCCTTTCCTATAGTAGTTACGCCTGTAGTTATTTAATATTAATACTATCTATAGGCCTTATTATGTAGTGGGGGCTAATGCTTAGTGTTGATAATCGGCTGGCGGATGTGTAAAGAGATTGAGCGCTATAGCCTATATAGCTACGTTTATTAATAGAAGCTAAATATATGATGTGGCTTTATAAGCGGCTACTCTATAACTAATATTCTACTCGCTTGTGATGAATATTGATATTATGCTTAATTTTAAGTGCACCCCTAGTATACTATTATCTAAGAATATAAAGTCTATAATATTAACTAATATAATAATGCTAGTAGATAATAAATTTATTAGTTAGCTATAATATTACTATCCTTACTAATGCCTACTGATAATTAGGTTGCCTAAATAGTATGTATACCCCTAATACGGATTAGTCCCCTGCTCTGAGCTTAAGCTATATTAGGTAGTAACTACTCCACTAGAATGTAAGTATTCATTATAGTTACTATTTTCTTATTTAGGAAGGTGGTCTAAAGTATATTAAAAATTATTCTTCGTAAATAGAAATATCTAAGAGTAATAGGTGCTCTAAAGGGATATATTAGGTTCTAAAGATGGAGGCTAAGGGATGACCTTTTGGATACTAATGCTCCTAGAATGCGAGGATATAACGGGATCCTGAGTTCTCTTCTGGGTATGGTCGTATGTGATAGTTAAGCGTTGACGTACCGGCTATAGCGCTATGCTGCTGGAACATTGACTAACTATCCACTTTAGCCCTCCTTGTGCCCCTCTTGGGCTGCTCTTGAGCTGGAGGGTCGCGACCTTGGATGGTGGTGACTCGAGTCGGTTACACGTGTTTGCAAGCGAGTAGACAACGGCGTCGACTGCGAGGACATCCAACGCCTTGCTGAGAAGCTCTGCTGCTTCCTCTGCGCTTGTGATATGGTGCGGCAGCTTCCGTAGTCGATACACCTTCTGGGTCCAGTCTAGCTGTCCCATGTTGATGTGGGCAGACGAGGCCGATTACTGCGATAGCCAGAAGAAGAGAGGGCTCGCAGACGTGTTGATCAATCGAAGGTCTCACCCCGCTTTCAAGCGATGAGTAACATTCAACATCAGCTCAGTTGAATTGTGGCTGTGCCCAGCCACCATCTGCGCAATTACGCTGATATGCAGTCAACCAGCCATTCATAGACCTCGTTTGGGCGGTAATGGCCAATTGGGCGCCTAGTTAGGGAGCTATCATGGTGGGCTGAGCATGAAGTCACCCAAATGGGTGTAGGTGAGCTCATGTCGCCCGTGATATAACGAATAGCCTAAAACACCGAATTTATTTGCTCTGATATATATCCTCACTTCTCATCGGGTGAGCTCATAGCCCGGTCAGGTCAAGGCCAATCCATAGCCTCTTGCATTCAATATATATTATTAGTCGAGAGCTCCCTAAGAACGCTTTGTGTATTGGCCTATGGAATCCTGATATTACTGATCCCTCCATTGACTAGATCGCATGAAATTAGAGGAGCCATTTGAGGTCAAAGGCTATCGTTGGACGGCTGAAACTGAAAGAGCCGTTGGAAGTGGCAGACATCGCCAGGGGGTCAGGGCAAAGCCTCTACGAGGATGAAGGAAACTGATTCTGGGAGATTACACGCCCATAATTCTGCGCAATCCCCTTGTGAGTTATAGAAGCTGTAGATATGGTGGATCCCAGGGATTTCTTGCAAAGAGTCAACAATGAGTGAGACCTTGGAACCATTGTTTTTTCAACATTGCGTTTTCTCGGCCACCTCTGAACATTATGCTCTGAACTTCCTATAGATGTAGGCAGCCAAATTCCATAAGCATGGTATCAAGGAAGCCTATGAGGGAATCCGGTGTCTTTTGCGTCTATAATTCAGCTCTGGGTCCATCTGAAGTAATGCTCACGCCATTGCCGTGGCTTGACATGCCACAACTCTCTATAGAGCTTGAAGGGGTAGAGCTAGGGGAATGAACATCCTACAACTGAGAGTATAGCAAGATCTAGGAAGCTGAAATGTGAGAAGCCCTTATGTGCGAGTAGGTCCAAGGCCTCTTTCGCTGGATGCTTGGACTGGGCGTTGGTCGCCTAGAGCACTACGTATGATTAGTAAACTTGCATGAAAACTTACTAAACAATAAGTGGCCTGATTGGACACGTGTAATCCCGATAGATACTTCTTTTACATAAATAATTGTCACGCAGTAGCGCCAAAATATCATAACAAGGGTCTAATCACTCGACCCCACACTCGCGATGAGTCTACCCTACACCAGAGATTCTGTTTACGAGTGTGTGACGAGCATCGTAGATGCTCGAAGGAAGAGGCTAGCAAGGATCAAGCTTAGATCTACGGATATGCAGGTAATGGAGATAGTAAAATAGGCGAGTTTCATTAGTATAAATACGGACGAGTCTGTCAAGCTTGCTAATGAAGCTCAACAGACAATCTTGAATGTACAAAGTTCCCATCCTGCGGTTTCCATGCTCCTACTCAGACCTAGCTTTGCCACTTACGTGTGAAAATAATACTTGTCCTAACATAAATAAATCTACTGTACTGATAAGCCCCTCTGCCTTCTACCCCTCTCTCTTTGCCCCGCCTTTATTATTCGCTCTGAAAGAAGCAAGTTTATTGAACTATGAGCGACACTTTGAAGTTTCTTGTCTTCTCCAACCTCCCCCCTGAATTACGATTAAAGATATGGGGCCATGCTCTTCCAGGAACAATCACCAACTTGCTATATATCTACAAGCGGGGATGCTGGTCTGCCCAGCCTATACTGGAATCAGATGAGAGATATGACAATCAGCACGAGATTGCGAATTGGTCTTATATTTTCTGCCCTAAGCTCCTGACTGAACCTAGCCTTAAGGTGAGCCTGGGCTTTGTCAATCGTGAAGCTCGTGGGGTAGCACTTTCTTGGGTTCATGCGCAATCCAGCAAGTTAAAATTTCCGAACCATACCATATCCCCAGTTTTCAGACGTCTATTTGATGTCAGCTGTGATACCTTATATGTCTCACCTGATCGATGGAATGATTTCCTACATGAACCTGTTGATCAGAATCCGACCGGCCGTGAGATGGAGATTCATGGACAAATTAAACAACTTGCTATATCAGAGACTCTTATTCGGAGTGGATTATCTGCACCACTACAGGGCTTTATGGAGTATTTCTATTCACTAAGGATACTCTATATTATTCTTAATCGTAAAGAGGAAGCAGTGGATGAAGTGGATGATAATATCCAAACATCGATGCCCTATAGGTATCAAGAAATACCTGGAGGGTATAGGTTCTTGTGGAATCCTGAGCTTGGAGCCTTTGGATTTGAGGATGGTGATGACAATAATGATAAGACTCTATCTCAGCTTATTCAAGACTCTATTCTAGATCTACAAGAGGGCCTTATTTATATGGAGGTCCCAAACTTTGAGGTCCGGCTTGTCACCAAACACCTATATACAAGTTATTTATAGGCTAGTTGCTGTTTTTTTGGTAGTTTGATTATAAAAACATTTCTGAATATCTAAGTCGAAGACCCTCGAATTGTTGGGACGGTGCGAATTATAACTATATCAATCATTAGCTATGCCATTCACCGTCATACAGTAGCCTTGCCAATGGCCTGCTACATTCATTTGCATTATCATCACTCGGAGAGTATAAGCAAATAAGTCTTTCATGGTCTTCTTCTGTAATTTGGATATCGGAAGAGTGATCAAGAAGGCAACTTGCAGCTGACACTATACCATCAACTCTTCTACACTATATTGGACTCTCCCTTCCATACAAACTGACACTTACATAAGAGAAACCCCGTTTCTCTTCTCAAGAGAATCTATGCGTTCAAGGACCCATAGCTGTAAGCGCTAGACATAAGAGCATTATCTAGTTCGATAATAACGTGGCCTATACGCGCGGTTCCTCGGATGCTGAGAGGCGCGCGCGGCCACAACTTAACAGGTTTTAATCTAATCTAGACTTGGCCACTCCGACAAAATTATCTTGTGGCATCAAAATTAAAATGAACATAGGCATAATTACGTTGGATGATAATATTCACCTTCACAGATAAGTGGTCTGTCCGATAAGAATGGCACAATTTGATTTGAACGGCAAATCCCCTGTTTACCGATGCAACTGCAGTCAAGAATACGAACAAAATCGTATCAAATGCTTGTCTCTATAATCTCGAATTACTGTTTTAGGTGCGGACCCCGGGGCAAGGTTTACAAACTAGGACATTGCCGCCGCCTTTACAGTCACCTTCCTGAAAGACGGTAGCCAAGAGACTGGGTTGTCCCTCCCTATAATATCTGCGACCATCCTGAGGAAACGGGCTGGTATACAACAGCTCGCTCGACTTTCCGACAACAACATGCGACCTATCAATTTGTTTACTCTTCTATCCTCCACAACCGGCGCTTTGGCCGCAACGTTTACGTCATGTTCCGAGTCGCAGATAGCTACCCTTGAGGTGGCAATTGGGCGAGCTACTACTAAGGCATATGCAGCCATAGATCATCTGGAAGCCAACCCCAACGGCAGTGACTTGCAAACCACTTGGTATGGAGAGTTCAATTCGGCAAGATACACCAAAATATTAACTGCATTCAAAGTAAGCTATCCCATTGCGGGAAGAACTTCGTGCATTGAATGTGAACTAAAAACATGGGATAGAAATTCGCACCCGATCTCGCGACAACGTTTACCTACGATTGTTCCTGTCAGAGCAGTGTCATACTTGCTTATGTTGGTAACACGTATGGTGATGTCAAGATTTGCAGTGTATATTTTACGGGATGGCCCGCAACTGGCCATCGTTCGCAGTGGGAGTAAGTTGACTATTAATCCACAGACCACTAGTATATGTTTCATTTATCTTTTCACCTTGTCACTTCTCGCCTCTCGGTCGTCTTTCTAAAGAAGACCTGTTAACATTTTGTAGTACACTCATTCATGAAGCCACACACCTGCGCGATGTGCTTGGCACGAGCGACCATGGATATGGTGTTGACCTTTGCAAACAGTTTGCCCTGGAGGACCCTGAAAAAGCTGTCGATAATGCTGAGTTAGTTTTTTTGCGACCTGCCTCTACAACTATAATACTGATGCTCTCTAGTAATCATGCTCGATTTGCTGTCGAGGTGGAACCTTTTGGGCCGTAATCGGCCAGTTTCTCAGTTATTCACACGAACCGGGGGCTTCGGGCAGGTCAATTAAGCCCTGTATTTCGTGGAGAGCCCAATAAAGATGAAATAGCCTGGTATAAAACTATACATATTGCAATAATTGCAGATTAGTCGATTCTTTATTTGATTTGAATGGGAGTTAAACCGGTTTCCCCGACTTTATAGCCTCGCCGGATATGATCCCATGAATAAAACTGTCACAAATGAACCCGTATTGCATTTCATTTTCTTCAATCTTGACTGGACTTATGATGAAAAGAAACATTGAGTCCATCTCCAGATGGAGAGTTTATAGATCTTTATTCGTTAAAGCTAAGAGTCGAGAAGTCCTAATTAGAGCAGGAGAGGAATGAACCTAATTCTATACATGAGATCAACAGAATAATTTGATTCAACCACGCCACTTATCTCTTCTTCCCGATATCGTCTGCCTTCCATTGTGGCATGCTCTTAAAACCGAAATCTTCAACAGGAACATAGTCTGCTGCCTGTGGCCCCAAATGAAGGATTCTCCCAAAGAACTTGATGACAACGAAAAGGATTCTGGTGTATGATAGTGAAGAGACAAGAACATGAAGAATCCAGATGCCCCAAGCTGTCTCGGGGTTATAAACATGTGGCTGGCCCGGTGCCAACTGTTGCGCATCCTCGACTATTGGTCGCATCTGTTCATTGTACTGGGCAAGTGAAGATAACGGATCGTTGCTCTCTCCTTTGATATATGTCTGAAGATAGCCTGCTAGCTTGTAAGCTGCGCTGAAAGCTAGAGTTGTGCCCATTCCTGAGATGGGAGAGGCACAGTAGCTTTCCGACTGTTAGTAAGAACTCTTAGATAACGAACAAGACTTGGAAGACCTCACCCTGCATCACCCAGAAGCACAACTCGTCCCTTGTTCCAGGTGTCCATCTTGACCTGGGAGACGGTGTCATAGTAGAAATCATCTGTCACCTTCATCTCTCGTATGATTCTCTCGCATTCCCAGCCGGCATCTTTGAAGTATTCCTCCAGAAGTGCCTTCTGGGCCTCCGCATCGCCATTGCCCTTGTTCGCAACCTCCAAAAATCTGGGGTCCTTGTCATTCACCACATACATGAAGATAGTGGACCTTACTCCTGCGCCATCCGGACGGATCATGATCCCTCGCCTACCGGGAGCATGGAACCATCTTCGCCAGTTGCCGTCGTGATCCTCCCGCGGGATACTGAAGAAGCCAGCATACATCCCGATCGGGTTCAACCGTTCTTTTTCTCCTTCTTCGCCCCAGACCAACTTTCGAGTCCGGCTCTGCATCCCGTCGGCCCCAACGAGGAGATCAAAGCTTCTTCTCTCTCCGCTCTTAGCGAAGAGCACATGAACCTCATCGTCTTCTTGCTTTATCTCTTTGAGATAATCCCCAAAGATATACTCAATTCCTTGAGCGCCCTCCGCTTCCGCTTTGGCGCTGACTCTCTGGCTGTTCTTCCAGCAGAGCTCAGACAGTTTGCCTCTGAGAATCTCGATGTCGGCTGTCCCCGACTGTATTGTGCCCATTTTATCAACACCGCGCTGTGACCAGACTGTATTGTTCTTATCGACAAGCTGGACGCCTTCTTCTCCAGTGGTTGCAGCTCTGATTTGTGCCTCGAGCCCGAGCTTGCGGATTATGGTCACTCCTGCGCCGCGGATGTCAATGTTTTGGCCGCGCAGATGAGCCCTCCCCTTTGCTTCACGCTCCAAGATGGTGATGTGAGGCTTTTGAGAGGCAGGGACATCAGCTAGTAAGAGAAACGACGCCAAGGTCGGACCTGCGATGCCACAACCGACAATGAGAATTTTCGGGGGAGGCATGACGGTTTAGCTGTCTTGGATGATTGATTGTCCTTTGGGTGACGGTGTGCTAGGGGGGATTGAAGTCCGAGGAAGAATGGGTGCTAGTGTCTGAATTATATATGAATCTAAGATGAAGGAATAAGAAGAAAGTCGGGCTTTGAACTTGCCCGAATAATATAGACGGACAATCCAAGAACCGGGATGGTCGAGATCTGTACGTTATGAATGGAGGCCGGCTGCCCGGAATGTGACTCGGATCGATCAACGATGATTCTAGCCGTATGTGACGTGTACATCTCAAGAATCGCGTAATCTTCAGCTCAATATAGTGACGCAGCATGGACACTTATTTGATAATTGGGCTGATTTGACTGGAGGCCGATCGGCTTCGGGCCCGATGGAAATACTGCTCTCCGATTGGCTAGTTGGCTTGTGTGGTGTTTATTGTTCTCATCATCGACTCCGGTGGTATCTACAAAGGTCTAATTACCAAGGAAGGCGTTTTTAGTCCCTATTCTAGGAATAAAATAGCCGAAAAATTGAACAAAGTCGGAAAATGTACTTGGCGTTGTGAGCCTCAAGTTTATGTCGAAATCAATCTAGCTAGGCACTGCCTTATCCAGCCCTCATAATCGTGGATAGGATTCTTCTAAGCTTCCATATGGTTCGGTGATTTTTTGCGAAACATTCAATGTCACCGTTCCATCTTGATCAATCTACTGGCAGCCATATAGGTGAGATCAAATTTTGTTACCGTATTGGTGGAAGACGCTTATGCTTTCATGCCATCCATGAATGGGGTTGGGCGATTAGTTTTCCAAATACTCCCCAAATTTAAATTACTTAACCGACAATGACACTTTACAATGGACTTGCACCTTTTAATACCGTTCTATATGAATGGCCTTAAGATAGAATGCTGAATAGATAAACGGTAACGTTTTAATGTTGAGAAAACAAAGTAGTGACGTACCTGGGTGGGACAAAGGAGCTTGTTTTGCAAACCTGCCCCTAAGTGCGAGGACAATGAAGTAAGGTGAAGCTCACTTACCACTCAGAGCCGACAGTTTGATCAGGTACCTGAAGTGTATTGATGAAAATTCCCGAATTGAAGAATGCCTTGTTTACTCATTTCCTACATGACAGCATTGATCTCCAACCACTTGAGTATGGAGGAGGAAATTAATATACATAAGCCATCCCCGAGCAAGCGATATTCAGTTCTAATCCCTATGTATACTTTCCTAGCGCATCATGGCAACCACATTGACATCTATGCCTATTGAGGTTATTCTTCAAATATTTCATTCTTTGTCTAGCGAGGAGGATGTATCTAATCTTCGTCTTACCTGTCGTTGCCTCGGCCGTATTGGCATCGATGCCCTGAGTGCTACGGTAACTTTCGCGATCTTGCCCGAGAGCATCTCCCGGCTGCGTAAGATCTCATTGCATCCTTTTTTCAAACAACACATATCCAGTCTCGTTTGCATAGCGAACGTATTTTGGCCCTTCACAAGATCAATATCTAGCCTGGAAGAATACAGACAACATAGACCATATGGGAGCTTTTGTTCAGAGGATCAGGATGATTGGATTACTTTTTGGGCGGATTCTAGCAAGCTGCGCGCTGCCCAGGATGAAGCTTTAAAGGAATTTGAGCCTTCGCAAGCTGTTGATGTCGTTTGCCGGCGATTTACGAACCTCAAACACCTAGAGGTTCGAGAAGCTACCGCCCCTCCATCGTATTTCCACAGCAACCAAGCATACAGAAATCTTTCTTCCAGGCATGACTTTGAAGACTGCCACGAATTGTCATACCCTGGTTCAGAAATCTCCGTGCGCATGTCTTCTGCCCCAAGCGTCTACCTCCTGGGCTCACTATTACGCGCTACTAATGATTCTCAACTTCAGAGTCTACTGGTTGATCCGCTACCTGTAGAAGTGTTTAGTGGTAGTGAGTCCGATGACTATTCACAGATGACCAGAACCAGTTGCCACCTCCGCACTTTGAGACTCCGCATCTGCGTCACTCAAGACCCTGAGGCGGCCAAAGGAATTATTTCCCGAAACCGGATCAGGAATTTCCTTTGTTCAGCCCCAGATCTTGAAGATCTTGAACTCGCGTGGAAGGCGAACGTTGACAGGAGAACCTACTATATGAACATCGCTCATATTCTTCCTAGAAAAAAAACCTGGTCTCATATACGAAGACTGAGTTTATCAGACGCCGAATTTGTGGTGCAAGTCTTCTTGGACTTCTTGAGCTGCCATGGGCAGACCCTTGACTCTCTGGAATTGAAAAATTGTGCTCTTCAACATCAAGGACCCCAGCAATGCAGTTGGTCGGATATTTTCATTCCCTTGGCGAGGGATTACTCGCTTTCAAAACTTACCCTTGAGGGTCGATTCATTCTACCCCAGCTTCCTGGCCAAAACCAAAGCCGAAATCAAAACATCCTCCCACACATTCATGCGCGCGACAGTGTCCAGTATTTACAAAACCCGTTTTTACATGTTTCCCAAGCAATGGAGCTAGTGATTTGCTCGGCAGACTTTCATTCTTTCCTGAATTATAACCAGAGTGGCTGCATGGACTCTATCAGCAAGATCAAGGAAGCTGTCATCCAAGATTTGATGGATTTCGATGCTGCGGAACGGGTAGGGCAAGAGCATATTGATATCCCTACTAGGTATGTAGATTATCTCAGGTCCTATTTTTCAAAACCTGATGATGGCAACCTTTCACCCCTAGAGTGGTGGCCGGATCCTGAAGATCCCGATAGGCTGCCGTTCTCGATGGTCCCGTGGTCGCCATCATGGATGAATACGCTGCCAGAAACGTGGTCCAGTGAAGACGTGGTACATTGGTATTAGTGGGAAACTTTCGTTCAACTTAAATTGAAGATGTTTATTCCCTTCCTTTTCTGGGGAAGAGATTCATATGCCATTGGATGTTATGCCGCGACCTAGACTCAAAGGATCAGATCGACAATGATATCCACTATGATAGGTCTCCTTGATAGCCTTTTCGATTTTCATGTTAAGCTCCCTCCCCCCTTGCTTGAGCTTCGAGTGAGGGTCAAGTTAAAACATGGAAGCAATTACACCAAACGTCACCAGGTATCACACGGATAGACGGAGTTAGTTTGAATTATGTAAATAGAAAAGGCGATAAACGTAAACGAATGTACAATAACAACAATCCCCCTCACCCAATCCTATCGAATCAATTTTCCTCAAAATGTGCGCCCATGCTGCTGGACTACATTCTGGTGCTCCACGACAATGTAATCTACACCAATAATCATCCTCGCAGACTCCAGGTCCATGAAATTTGCTTCGTCAGGTTGGATCTTAGTAAGATACTCGTTATCGTTGGCCATGGCCTGCAGTGTCTCCAGATTGTGCATCCAAAATTCTGCTGCTCCATCGAATTCAAGAATGGGAGCCGCACCCTCGACGCGCCCAAGATCGCGGAGTTCTGGAGTAGAATGATACTACGTAAGAGAGTTCAATTAGTACAATCAGTTTAACAGATAAATTGTTATCTCCAAAGGAGCGCCTACCTGGGAGTACTTCACAACTCCAAGTCGTAGGTGAAAAGGAGTGGCAAGGGCTGCATGGTCGTAGGCCCAGTATCTATTGAACTCTTCGGGTGTGATGCCTTGCTTGCGGTTGTAGAATAGTTTGACATGATAGACTCGCTCCATGTTCATCGTGCAGGCGGCCTTGTAAGTCATGCAGCAGCAATCCTCGGGAACCAAAGGGGTGGTGGCATTCTGATTCTTATTGGAACAAGTATGAGAGCCCCGAGCAGCGACGAGAGGGAGTAGAGCGAGAAGCCTGATGAGTTTCATGTTGGCTCGTAGGAGAGTGGTATCCAAGTCTTTTTGTTCTTGCTGTTTGCTAGTTGTCGGTGAGCAGTTGAGGTAGTCTTGTGAGCGACGACCTAATCGACCAGGGATAGGCTTTTATAAGTTGCAACTCATGCTGTCAATTACAACTCCTACTACTCAATTTTAAGTCTTCATCATCTCGCTGCATGACTTGAGGCTATACCGAAGTTTGACATTATGATGTACATCTCTGCACTTGATAATTAGGCCGTCTATCCCGTTCAAATCGCGCCTGGCGCAAAATCATCTGTTTCCGGCTAGTTAATACATCCACCATTCTATAGTGGGAAGTTTTTATCTAATTATAAGATTATCTCAGCCTCAGTGTGCCATTGAGAAATTACCCTTTTGGGCAGTGGATGGAGGGTTGCCCCGTCCTCGTCGGCGCAGCCAGCTGGAATCAACCAGACTTAATCGCTTCATCAACCAGATTCCAAGTGTGATTCGCCACTGTGTTCATTTGTTCCTCATTCCAGACCGCCTTGTCCGTAATTAAACGCCCCCTATTGTCGATGTTGCTCCAGTATTTACCCCTACCCTCGGCATCAGCTACTGCTGCGGCGGCGCGTTCAGAAACCGCATTGAGTAGATACTGAGCGCATGTGTCCGGCGTCACGGTAACCAAAGGAGCTAGAGTGCGAGCGAGAGGTTGCAGATACCACGGGAGATTCCTTAGAAGACCTGTATCAACGCCGCCAGGGTAAGCATGGATAAAATGTCGCCTTTTCCCTTCCTTTGTATCCTGCTGTTGAGAGGAAGCATAGTGCTGAATCATGATGTCGTTCATCACCATACAGTTATTCGCTGCAGTGCTGAGGCCGAAATTCTGCTTCAAGTCCAGATCATTCCAGAGCAGCTTGTTGGGGTTGCCAGTCTTGCCATCATACACAATAATGACCTTGCCGTCTGGCTTGAGCGTCGGAAGAAGCTCACGGATGAGCAGTTGCTTGCCATAGTAGTGCAAGGCCATCTTTCGGTCGATACCCTCCACTTCGGTTCTTCCAGCCATGGACATGATGCCCTGGGACATGATGAGAAGGTCCAGCTCTCGGCCGGGAACGGATTTGAATGTATCAGTGTACTTCTTGATCTGGGACATGGACGTTGCATCGAGAGGCCGGAATTCCATGTTAGGATATGGTATCTTTTCTGGCTTTGTGCGGCCGCTGATGATGACTCTGGCCGAGCCCGCTTCTGCAGCGACTCGGCAGGCCATTGCATAACCTATGCCACTCGTTCCGCCAACTACTATCGCCCGGGTAGCCATTGTCTCCGCTGTTTTGTTTGTTGAAAAGATGGAGAATAACCTGTTTGCCGTGGAAGTTGGCTGAGATATCAATCCCCGTTTTGATTTAAGGGCTGCTCTTCACTGCCCTTTTCTTGTGGATTTGGGACGGATTTGGTTAATAAAGGAGGCGGAGACGGCGGAGATCCGATATCCGGCCGAGTCTCGAGTGTTAAAATCTCGCTCCTGATTGGCGCGATTCTCCACCATGTTGATCATCTTGCGAGCTCCATCTCATCTCCATTCCACCTCCACCAGACATAAACATTCCCATCTCCGACCGCATCATTCCGTTTGGCTGGATACAGACCGCATGCGCCATACCAGAGACACAATTAAATAGCCACGAAAAAAATGTCAGACTTCCCTCCGCCCGATGTGCTGGCCAAGTCCAAGCAGAAGAACTGCAATGGCTGTGTCCAGGCCAAGCGACGCTGTGACAGGCGCACGCCAATATGCTCCCGGTGCATAGAGAAGAAAATCCCTTGCACTTGGGGGAAGAAGAAATCGACAACGGGCCATCCGTCAATCAGGCGACGGCTCGAATGCGCCCCAGCCGAGGAGGCGCTTCCATTCGGAGGAGACTATACGCCCTCGTCCTTTGTGTCAAGCCTGGACTATCTTGATAGTATACACACACCCTCACATATCAACACCGGGGCCGAAATTTCCGCTACGCCAGAAGATCATATGCCTAGCTACATACTGGATGCCGAGCTCGACCCTGATCTTCCCATGGACTCCTTTCTGGACTTGATGAATGATACTACGCCAGCTCGCGGCCAGTACCTCGTACAAGCCGAGAAACGGCCTTTGACTAACCGGCCTGGCACGCCGGCGGGGGAAGAAGTGATCCAGTCTTATATGAAAATGAATGGTCTCTGCGTAAGTCTTTCATTTCGCATCAGTACTTGTTGCGTTCCTGATGATACTGATTCGAAATTCAGACTCAAATCGAGCCCTGGTCATTATATGATCCCAAATCTCTACTCAGTTGTGTTGTCAGAGCTGTCAACAGTTTTGTCACCGACGTAGGGTCCCGGAATGCCACCCCATTCCTCCACCGTTACCTGTATAAAACCCACGCACCAAAGTCGATCCTCGATTGCCTCGCAACGAGCCTTCTGTACTCTAACAGAACAGAAGAAAACTCAGTCATGGTGATGCGGTCCCTTCATAATAACATCAAAGAGCTCGAAGAGGGCGAGGGCTTTCACGCTGCTGGTACGCCGTTAGAACGGCTAGCGCGTACACAGGCTCTGTTTCTATACCAGGTCATTCGGCTGATGGATGGTGATATCATACTCCGCTCAATGGGCGAAAAGGATATACCTCTTCTACATGAATGGATAGAGGACCTTTGCGGCTTGCGTGAAAATCTTGGTGACCAAGCGCATCTTGCCATTACCGGGATGCGCAGCCAACCTCCGAAAGAATGGGAGGTGAGTGAGATTAATTTCACATCCTGAAAGGCCTTCGCTGACCGTCCTGTTTCTTTTTCTTAGAGATGGATATTTGCAGAATCCGTCCGAAGAACCATCATAATGGCGCATTCATTCCTTGTGATGTATTCCCTGATGAATAACTCCAAAGATACCCGTACGTCCATCTACCGTTTGCGCGCCGCGAGAGCAATGACCACTAAATCTAGGGATAGGCAGCCGAGACTTTTGGATCTATTGCCATCGCTGGACTATATCACGCCATCTCTGGGAGGCAGACTCTTCAGCTGAATTCGTGCGAGCTTGGAAAGAGAAACCCCAATTCATTATAACAAATTATTCCTTTGAGGGCTTCCTTGAATATGGTAGGGGCGACGATGTCGATGATTTTAGCAGGATTCTCCTCAGCCTGTAAGTCACAAAAATGATTCCAAGCAACCACTTCCCTTCCAATACTGATGATATTGGTATAGATTTCTCGGGGAAGACGAGACAAAAGAATTTATGAATGGTTCGAAACCACCAGTTAGTTCAGTATAGCGATTTTTTAAGTGTGCCCAGGCAAGTTCTTGGTCAAATCATTCTGGCTTTCTTATATGAAGATAAACCTGATACATTCCTTGGGAGTATTTTATGGAAGAAGTTTATGATTATTCAGTAGAGCCTGTGTCAAATCTAACCTATGCGGTCACATACTAAAGACATTCGATAAGGCTTCGATATGGCTTTGATATGGCCCTTAATTAATGAATTCGCTCCCGGGAAAGTCGCCAATGGTTTCCACGTCCTTCAACGCCTGTACTATGATCCCAACCGCTTTAACCAGGTCTTCCTCAGTTATGGTAATTGGAGGACTAAACCGTAGCCTGTTAAACCCATTTCCAACTAACACACCCCGCAGAGTTGCGAGAGCGGCGGCTCGCCTTGCTGTCACTCCTGGTTTCGATTCATCAATGACAAGGGTGTGGTACATGCCACCTCCGCGGTGCTCGAGGAGATGGGGGGGATTCAGACTTTTGATTGTCTTTGTTAACAACACGGACAGGCGCTCAGATCGCTCCGATATTTTCTCTTCTTCGAGAACATCTAGCGCCGCTAGGGCAGCTGCGCATGCTGGGGGGCTTGCACCATAGGTTGAGAAGACTTCACCTCTGCCTACTACATCCATCACCTCTTTCTTACCCATTATGACGGACATCGGATAAAAGCCTGATCAGTTAGTATGATTTAATCAAATTAAGAGAGGGAAAGATTGCTTGCCTCCGGTAACGGCCTTCCCAAGAGCTACGATGTCAGGTTGGACACCTTCCTCGTGCTGATAGGACAGGTCTTTGCCAGTTCGCCCATAGCCCGACTGTACCTCATCACAAATCATCAAGATATTGTGCTTCTTGCATAAGTCATAGACAGCTTTCAGATATCCTTTTGGTGGGAAGATGGTTCTGCCAGTTAGTTTGTTAGCGTAATGTTTCGGTTGATTTCATCATCGCATAGGATTATTACCCTGCCCAGCCCTGGATAGGCTCCAACATAAATGCTGCGATCCGGTGTCCATCTTCCTCAAACGTCTCACGAAGAGCCTCGATATCACCAAATGGAATCAGCTTTCTGCTAGATGGCCCAAAAGGCCCGACGTTGGGCACGTGTCTTCCAAAATCTATGCACCAACTGTTAGCCAGAATTTCAAACCAACGGAATAGAATACAGAAGTGTCGTAGATAGACACCTGAAAAAAGAGCTTACCCTTGGAAACTACAGTTGCCAGAGGCATGGTGGCAAGAGTCGACCCGTGATAGCACTGATCACATGTGACGATCCAGGCTTCGTTCTCGGGAATACCTTTGACGGTGTATCCCCACTTCCGAGCGATCTTGAGAGCTGCGTCAATTGCTTCTGAACCACTCATCATAGTCGCAACGCGATCGAACCCGAATTTCTACAATGATCAGCTTCAGCCCACGGAAAACAATGTCATTAAAAGTCACACCTTGTTAATTCGCTCCGCGAACTCAACGTATAGTGGACTGATGTAGGCGGTGCCGCTCAGAGGCATCTTCTGAAGCTGGTCAACCGTCGCTTGGAGAATCTTGGGATGCGAATAGCCAAAGGTCATCACTGCAAACTGCGAGATAAAATCGATATATTCTTTTCCATCGACATCAGTGATTATGTGGCCTTTGGCGCTTTCGATAGCCACCTATGAAAGTCAGTGCTCTTGTAGGTTCCTTGGCGTGTACCCCTCATCTTACGGGGAATGTGGCAAAGCCGCCACGAATATTTTCTCTCCATCTTTCGATAACATCTGCAGTTTTCTCGGACAAGGCCAGGCCATTGCCGTGATTGATATCAGGGTTTGCCGAAGGCGCCATTGGTATATATCGGTAATTGCTGAGCGCTGAACGGTGGTTTTCTATGAAGGCTGAGGAGAGGGGAAGAAAGATTAGATTCAGATGTACCCGGAAGGGCGCCTTATAAATCAACCATCAACTAATCAACCTAAAGGAGCAACGCTTGATGGGGTGTCAGATTGTTGATATGATTATTAATACTTACTCCAATTAATCTCTTTGAGATAACCAACCTTTCAATTCCACTCTCCAATGATGAGATTTACCATTTGTTGAAATTTTATGTTTAGATCAAATCACAACCAGCCACAATCAGAAGGTTAATTATTGAGTTGACATTCTGTTCATCGTGGAGAAAGATCAACATAGGATAAAAAATTCCTCGCTATATCAAGCGCTATGGAGTCCTCTACTCCCTCCCCCACTAGACACTGTCCGTAATACTTGAGTGTTCAGACCTATTTGTAATCGAAAACCGGCACTTCCATGGCAAAGATATCTCATTCTTGCTCTGAACTCACGATATGTGGGATATTATGGGAATAATGCGATTGTCTGAAGTCGCCCAATGAGCCTTACTCAACTCCTCTTGACGGGCTTGAGCTTGACCATCAAAGGCCCCTTCTGCCATACCATATAGATCTTCTGATCCATCCAGTCCCCTTCATGACAATTCTCCAGGTCAAAGTGCCAGACAAGATTGGCTATGATGAGCTTCAGCTCCAGGTAGGCCAGGTTTCTCCCAGCGCAATTCCGCGGTCCATGCGAAAAGGGCTGCGAACCCTGTTTCTTGTCTCCGTCGAACCTTGAGTCTTCGCCCGTCCAGCGCTCGGGGATGAATTTATCACCATCCGCAAAATTGTCTTCATTAAGGCATGCCGCGAGAATGGTGACACCTACGGCCATGTTTCCAGGAACAAAGTTGTCGTCGATTGTGATACCCCCGGGGGGCGTGTAGCGAGGATGCGTAGCGGGGGAAGGGGGATAGATGCGGAGCCCCTCCTCGATGACAGCCAGGAGATATTTGCACTTGTTAACTCCCACGGCTGTAATCTCTTCAGCTGAAAAGAATTCCTCGCGGAGCTCCCTAGTCAACTTGTTGAGGACGTGAGGATGCGTCATTAAAAGAAATGTTAGACCTAGAGATAAAGGAAGTTAGATAGTACACTCTAGAGAGAGAGATAAAATCATGTTGGACGCTGTTCGAATCAATGTCAATGGTTTCATACCTGAGAGCGCAGTAGCGGTCGTCTCACTTCCAGCACCGAGTAGGACATCGGAATTCCCAACCAGCTGGTTGAAGGTCATCTGGCCTTCTCGATGAGCTTCGACCAATTTAGCCATAAAGTCTGGTATTGGAGGAGGATTCTCCATGCGATAGTTGACCTTGGCCTGTCACATACCGAATTAGCCAAAGATAGAGGTTAGAGGGCTTATTGAACTGGAGAGGTACGTACATTGCTGAGAGCTTTCATCTCCGCAACGTTGGCTTTGACATCTTTGGGCACTGCCCACATTGCATACGGGTATTTAATGATAGCTGGTAGGCGTTGCATGGTTTGCATGGTGCTGGCGAGTTTGATGAAATGAAACATAAGCTCGACATATGGATGAATGCTGGAGGTGGCTAAGCATCCAAACGATTGACCATAGGCTAGGTTGACAAGCGGGTAAGCGCGAGGCCAATGCAGAACGTATTCGAATCAGTGTAGATGTACTTACTCAGGTAGCCGATGATATCAAACGTAAATGACTACTTCTTGGTCAGCGATACATCCCGCTAAGATTCATGGGTTCTATGATATTGACACACGTTGTACCAGCGGAGCACGTCGACGGCAACCTGACCTTCGTGACCATGCTCACGCAAGCGTAGCATCAACATAGAGATATGCTCTTGAAGGACGGCCTCTTGGGCTCTTAGTGCGCTTTCGGAGAATCCGTGCGACAAGAACTTTCGAAGGGTACCGTGATATTCCCGATCAGCATTGATGAGAATTGGCTCAGGGACGAACTTGTGGTATTTCTTGTCTTTGACTAGTTCTGGGCGGCCAGCCTTTTGATGCCCATAGATTTCTTTGAAAGCAACCGCACTGGAAAAGGACAGTTCATCTGGTGCCACCCGAATCACTGGTCCGTACTTCTTGTGAAGGTTGCTCATTTCGATGGGAGCGACCCCTCGGTGCATAACATATGCGTACCATAGATTTGAAGCAGCCGCAATCTTGGGCCCGGGGAACTTGGACAGAGGATGGAAATAAAGGTTCCGGGTGAATGTGACGCAGCAGAAGGCCACAGCCTGTGATGAGTTAGGGGGATCATTGAATTTGCAAGCTTGGCGCTGAATGAAACTCACCGACAGCACCACAACACCAATCAGGACAACCGCGTTCATTGGCCCTGCGGCCAGAATTGAGGATGCCATGGCTTAGTTGCAATAACGTAGAAAAGCCTGAATTAATGGATCTATCGATGGGCGGGCTGAAGCAAGGGATTGACACCCCTCTTATACTTCGTAACAATGGAACATCAGACTACGTTGCATAAATCCCAGTTCCATGTAACGCATATCTGCAGCTAGCCCGTGGTTTTTATTAACCATGTATGGTAGGTGCTAATGCACTCGGAGAATGCCAAATATGTCCATGGAGAAAGCGTTTCATTGTAACTGTAATTCCGTGCCTTATTACCACGTATGTCAGCACTTTGCCCATGTATCAAAATCTAGATTTTATCTTTGGGGGTTACTAATTCAATCAAATTATTCTAGGTACAATCAGAATGCGTTTAGATGAAAACTAGGAGTCGGAATTGTCGATGGTATGACGACCCAGTCTGCACAGGCCCGATAGAACTACGAAATGCAATGAAATTGGTTTTTCACTGATAGCTTCGTTAAGTTTATATGGAGATTCGGATCTGCAAAAATTTGACCAATGCGGCCGGCCGCAAATATTCCCGGCCACTGTGTCCAATACAATATCCGCGATTACGGAGCGTTCGAGTGGCCGCAGCAAGTGGTATCTCCATGGGGTCCATGGACTCCGTGGACTTTACCCAAGACCCAAGACGCGTCGAACCACCATTATGACAAGTGTGATCATATTATAATGGTTACGTAGAGCCTTTGCTGCAGTGTCTCCAATTCATACTTTGGTCGCCAATACAGAGAAAACCTGTTTTATCAACAGATTGCTTGTATGGCATTTCTATCCCATCGCTTTTCGCCCAGCGCGTTGCATCTTGATCAAAGGTCGGTGTTCTCTAGGCGAGGAATTCTTCACCTATTAGAATCTATCTCAGCTAAAGAGCTAAATGAGCCCTATTTTTCATCATAAAATCTACTTCTATAGTCTTGCGTGCTCTCAGGGAAGATTGGCTTGATGATACCCAACTCACCCATACCCAGGATTATCGCACTCTGACGTGCTTTTAGTGCTTTTACCTAGTCAATCGAAACCAAGAAGCCTGGTAATCGGCAAGTATCATCGAGGTTCGCATTGATTATTAACCTACATCTCCTATGTAATACTCAGGGGCAAACTAGTTAACAGCGGGACAAGTTAAACAACAGAACCAGAGGCATACTATGACAGGTGCTATATAAGGGTAACCGTGGAAGACTAGGCAAGGAATTTTCCTTTTAGCTAGTTTAGCCTAATCTGTGATATATACCAACTGAACAAAGTTGAGATTCTGTTTTTAAATGACAGACAATTTTAAATGCTACACATATTCCATAGTTACCATGATTTTGACCGATCAATTCCATGATAAAATCCTGATCCATTCTAGACTTGACGTGTTTATCTTAGTAATAACGAACACGGCTGAAGAACTATTCCGAATAATCGAGGGAAGCGACGAGCGGCGAAGACGACGACTGAAGAATTTCTTTCTTGGAATCATCTTTCTTCAGATACATATCAAAAAAGGCAGAAGAATAAGTCATGTATACATCTGCCTTTGCTGAAAAGTTGTTCTTGAGATAGGCAGGGACGTCCGCTGTGAGCTCATCATTGTATTGGTAGGTGTCGGCGATCAACATGTGGTTGGTTGCGTTGATTTCGACTTTGTACTTGGGACCTGCGGCGCCATCGTAAACCTGTCTTTGTGGTTCGAGCGTCGACTCATAGTAAGGATCGTTTCCCGTCAAGATCATCAATGGTTTCTTGATGCTGTTGGCTCCTCGGGTTATTTCCGACGGTTTGATGAATACCGGGGGTGCAAGCGAGATTGCGGCCTTGATCCGGGAATCGTGGAGATCCGTAGGAGAGCTAAAGTTCCTTGACTCAGGCCAGGCGCAGAAGTTGACTTCAGTGAGAATAGGGTCAAGCAGATTCTGCTCCTTAAGAGTCATGGGGTAGTCGCAGTTGACGGCCATGCCAGCTCCCACAAGAAGCGTGTAGAATCCTCCCAGTGAGTGCCCCGCCATGCCAATATTTTCGGTATCGATTTTGCCATAAAAGGGAGATGATTCGTCTGACGCTGCTTGGATAGCCTTATCAATCACAAAGCCAATTTCTTGCGGGCGATACCTGAGCCCTTGATGTGTTCTCCGGAACCACCAAGAATACGTGAGCCACACGGCGTAGCTTCCGTTCTGCTCTTTTTGATACTTCTTTGCCTTCATAAGCGCGAGAGGATTGGCCTTTGCTTCAGCTTTGGTCGCATCGAGGTGTTTGATACTGACAACAATATATCCATGACTGGCAAGGTTCTGCAAGAAGAAGTAATAGGCATCGTCCCAAGAGGCTACGCCTGAAGAGAAAACTATCAGTGGGTATGCGCCGTGTGATGAATCGAGAGGTGCATCATGAACGGCCTCTCCGACAAGACCACCGGCATTGGTGAACGGCACTTCGTTTCCCTCACTAGTAGCAGGATACCACCAACTCACGTTGAGTTGACGGTCCTCGAATGCAAAACTCTCCCTTCGGATGCCAACACGTTGGCTACCGGTGGTATTGGCCGTCTCGACTCCAGTGGAGATAGGGTCAAGTAAGCGAGCACCGAAGCTGAATGCTGGATCTGGTTCCGCAACAGCCAGGCACAAAAAGAGGGACAGGAATGCAGCAATTAGCCGAGTCATTGCGCTGAATGTATTGAGTGTTGAATAAGCTAGGTGGCACTGCTGTAGACTTGAATATCTCGATTGGCTTGGAGTGTTACTTCATTTTATAGTACCGTAGTCTCATAACCCCTCGCTTTGCATCAAACCCTTCCGAGCCAGGCATATGTCCTAAGACGGTCTATAATCTAGGAGTTGTTTTGCCTAGTCCTCATTTACCACAAGAACGGTCAGTCTCCACATTCTAATACCTTTCACCAGGCTGATGTCAATAAATCCCTCCAAATTGACGGCACACCAGGGTCAGAAGGCAGGGATCACAACAGAAGATGGTGGAGTCGGCAAACCAAAGGTCCGACCACCGATCCGTGAGCACTAGAAGATCAAGACCCATGTCCTCCAGCATTGTAACAGTAATTGGAGGAGGGAGAGCCCAGTTGTTTGAAACAAAGAAATCCCCATCTCGAGAATGACGTCCTCTAATATCTTACATAGTGAATACTCTCCCAACCATGTAGCAATTAGTCGATTCTAAAGGAGCGGTGTCTCCAACCTCCGTCTCCCCGGCTTATGTTCTTGGCTTACCCTTCCTTAACAAGATTCCGTGGGGCAAGTGAACAAAAGCTCCATCAAAGTCGTTCACTTAGCCTCAGCACAAATCAGACTCCGAAGAGTTCGGTTGCATCCTGTTCCTTGCTTCGTTTTCGTGTGGCATACTACTTGCATCAGCACATCCAATGACTACAAGCAGAAAACCACATTGGCTCCACACCACTATATTAATCCGATGGTCATCGCGGCATTCAGCCGTGACTTGGTTAGAATGATAGTCCAAAGGGAGGAAGAAACGATTAATAACTCAAACTACCTACTTGGAGCGACAGCAAATCAAGGTCAGGAACCTCCCTCTAATGACAACCACTCGTGCAGATCAAATCCCGGAATCTTCCTGGTGATACGGTGCGTTTGGCACATATTCTTCCCACTTCTTGCACCTTTCATCCAGATTATCATAGTCTACCGAAATCACGTCCGCTATCTCCGATTCACGTTCAACAAACTGCAGAGCCAGATTTTGACTCGCATGCCAGGCGATGTGGCAATGGAACAGCCAGGTTCTTTAACCATGGTTAGTAATAACTTGAGCTAAGGGACCAAACCAATTTACTCACCCTGGATTGTCTGTCTTGAACGCAATTACAAGGTACCCGTTCCCTGGCATGTTGGCAGTATCACGGCGTGGCGGATTTTTCAGGTTCAACTTGACAGTAAGAGGGTTATATATCCCTTTCCCCTGCGCTAGAACATGAAAATCGTGGCCATGTAGATGGAAGGGATGGTACACGTTAAAAAGCAGAACGGTCTCTTGGATGACCCAATATGTCCACTATATCGCAGTAAGCTAATGTAAACCAGCTTTCTTTTTGATGATGGTTCTCACCTTATCCTTGTACGGAACATCATACACATTATACTCAGTGGGGTAGATCGCCTCGGTATCATTCTCTTGGATATACTTGTTGGTTGGTTTTTGCCAGTCGATAGTTAACGGCCGTGTGTTCAATGTCCAATGAAAGACGGTGGAGAGTTCGTAGAAAAAACCGAGAAGGAGAGCTTGCTCTTTCTCGCTGGCCCCTACATCAATTGGCACTTGTGGAACTAAACTTCCTGCAGGCTCGTCGTCACACCTAGTGACAACATTGGGGAGGCTTGTGGTGGTGGGGTCGGCCTCTTCTGCTCCCTCGTAGCGAACTATTCCGCGGATGTTGTTCTTATTCTTGTTATCCTGCCCGGCACAACTTTGATAAATTGCTCGCATCCAGTAATTATCAACGTTCTGGTCCGCTTCGACGATAACATCATATCGCTGGCCAGAGCCTATGGCAACACTGTCTGTGATATAGGGCTTGATCGGGACGTAGTCCATCGCGATCACCTTGAGTTTGTGCCCATCAATGGAAAAGCTGAAACCTGAATCTATCTGAGAATCGATCAATCGTATGAGATACTTTTTCCCGGGTTCAAAGGTAATCAAGTTTCTCTTCCCGTCCCCTTTGCATTTCGGGTCGCTTGAGCCGGAGCAGTCGTACGTGTTTGTCCCGTTGATCAGCCCGTTCTCGGCGACAGAGTTGGTCCTCAGGGGGAAACCGCCATACTTGCCGCTTCGCTCAAACTCTGCAAAGGTGCCTCCATGGAACCAGTCGGTCAAGAAGACAGGACCGAGGTCCACATCATAATCTGCGGTATGTGGTCCACGGATAATCAACGCCCCATACAACCCGTCGCCCATCTGGGGACCAAGATGCGAGTGATACCATCCTGTGCCATATTGGGTAAGACGGAACCTGTACGTCATGCTGTCTCCTGGAGCAATCGGGCATTGCGTGACTCCAGGAACTCCTGTTGAAAACGGTTGTAAGAAACTCGGAATTACTCGCATGATATCATAGTTGACCTACCGTCATGCTGATTGTTATTTAGTTGGCGGATGCCATGCCAATGTATCGCCGTACTACACCAGTCAGCTTTTCTACACCTCAACCAGCACAAAACCCTCAACGTGAACAAAACATTTAATGCGTTATAAACCATACCCGTTATGTTGCATGTCATTCTTTACGTGAATGACAAGAGTGTCGCCCCAATCAGCTTCAATGGTCGGGCCAGGAAAGGTGCCATTGAATACTAGCATCGGCCTTTCATAACCATCTGGGGCCAGGGTGGCATTTTGCGCTGTCAGCCAGTACTTCGCTTTATTAGCATACTATGTCTTGAGGTTTTTCGATCCAATACTAACCTCTTTTACAGCTCCAGTATCGGGAAAGACTTCCGAATAGTCCGTATCAACATCGTACTCGCCCCAGCAATTTCTCGAAGTTGCAGTATGTTCACAATACCTGCCACTTGGGTTCTGAGGAAATGCCTCTCCTACTGATAGGAGAAGACAAGCCATTAAAAATAGCAGAGTCATCATTCAAACGCCGCGATCGAGCATCTAATTTGAGTTCGACGTTCTCTTCATCCTCTTGTTAGAAATTACGGCTATGCATAACAACGGGGATGGGATGGATCATCATAATTAATAACTCTACACGATAGCCACGCGAACGTCGAAAGGGGCGTGCTTGACATGGGTTTATCTCTACCCCAGATGTTGCCAATGTGACACTGCAGTTGACAACTGAGGGGCCGAGGTTCTTGGGTTGCCTACCATCCTCCCTGCTGTTTATGATTGGCTGCCCTGAATTTGAGCCTAATCAATTCCGTTGCATTCCCATTGAAAATGCTACATATATCATGCTTAATCTGGCCGCTTCCGGTGCAACAAACAGGGAACCAGAAGCGGGACGAGGAAGGCGAATTGTTTACTCAACAGAGCCAGGCCGTTCATGCACATGATCGCACGTAGAGCTTCAAAGGAAGCCTAGATTAAGCTCAGCTAGATATCACCAATAATCGTAATATAACATTAGCGTAAACTAGGGCAGACTTCATTAGACGCTCATTCACTCCCTATTATCACCATGTCGATGTTTTCAGCGAAGGATCTTACCCCGAAACACGATTGACGTGACCCCCCACTCCGCTACAAATAAATTCGTGTCATTCTCTATTTCTGCCGCTGCTGCATCTCAGGCTCTCTTAGTGAATTGCGACGAAGTGTATATGCGTGCTACCGTGTGGAAGCGGTCTACAGGCGCGGTGTGATGACGACTCCTCTCTTGGGAGATATTTACAGTCTGCGCCATATTATGAGGGACTGAGGGGGTTGAGTAAGCAAACGCGAAATGACAGCGTCAAGAATACATAAAGTTCAAGTTATTAGTCTTCCCTAGGTACCCAATATTGGAAATACATTAGATGGCAGAAGATCTTACCAGTGTAAGCTGACATTTTCGAGAGAGAAACGGTTCGCGCCGAGTAACCTGTCCACCTTTTGCGGGGTCTTGACGCATGTGCTTATTCGCGCTCACTCCATCCCTTCATCATCTCGATCCGCCATATTTAGACTGGTGAGATGGGCAATTCAACCATATGCAGTTCCTGCCTGGAACACTTTACGTTTGCACGACCAGATGTGGTAGAAGAAATCAGGGGGCTGAAAAAGGAAAGTGTGGAACGTGCCGTGGAAGCTGGATATGGCGATGATGATCTGAAAAGTCTGCACAAAGACCTACGAGACTATGAAGCAGAAACCAATTCCATCCCCGCCGGATCCCGTGCACCATACCCATGGGCTTCAGGTCTGAACGTGCCCCAATTATGGATACATCTGCAGATATGGGACAACGAGCATTCGCGCTCTTTGGCACAATTACACGAATCCGTCAAGTCTTCAGGTTGTCACCTTTGCCGCTCATTTTGCAAAATGATAGAATATGCCTCTGGGGATGATGTTCCAGAGTCGGCAAAAATCACGACCGCCTTATCTTGTGACAGCGCGGGTACAGAACGTCTTCGTCTCCAATTCGCTGTTCACACAGATCAATCATACCACGATGGTAATGATGTCGTGATAGGCAACTTTGAGTGCAGGAGAATAGGTGTCTACAATTGTAAGAGGCCCTTGTTGCAATTTCATATGCTTTTCTCGCCGCTAACAGGCAAAACAATAGCGGATCTATATATACAGGATGAGGAACCATTTGACTCTTTGCCAAGCACGGATAGCTGCGTTGAGTTCTTGTCTCGCAACCTTGACTCATGCATCAAGAATCATCCCGAGTGTTCTTCCGGACAAACAGCTGGCTGGCTACCAGCGCGGCTCTTGGAAGTGCGGTCGGCTGATGGTGACAACGACTGTGTTTTCCTTGTTGAGAAAGACACCATCCAAGCCTCGGGGGATCAGAAACCCCAATACCTTACTCTAAGTCATGTTTGGGGATCATTGAAGCCATTGTGCCTTATCCGGGATAATTACGACTCGCTAAAGAGCGGGATCGAGACCCATCAACTACCCCAATGTTACAGAGATGCAGTTTTTCTTGCGCGGAAACTCGCTATATCCCACATTTGGATTGACTCCTTCTGGTGAGCTTTGACCATTGCTTCGTTAACCTCCTGCACCTATTGGTACTATAAGCTTACACAGGAAGCATTATCCAAGACTCCCCCGAGGACTGGGAGCGTGAGGCGATGACCATGGACAAAGTCTATGCCAATGGGATATGCAATATCGCGGCATGCGACGGCACTGACTCTTCACCCGGCCTCTTTGCGGATCCTGAATCGATACCCCATCCCAGAATCTCTTTCAAAACACAGTATACCAATAGCGCTGTCGAATTCGAAGTTGTGCCAATATGGATGGACTTCATGCGCAAGTATTCTCCATTATACAAACGGGGATGGTATGTCCAGGAGAGGTTTCTCAGCACGCGCATGATGCACCTCACCAAAATTCCTATCTGGGAGTGTCGAAAGACCGTCATTGCAGAAGGGTGTAGCGAGTCAGCGGCACCCCCTCTGATGAAATCATCAGCGTCTGAAAGAGAGTTGATGTGGTCTGACGAGCAAGACTTAGGTTTCAACTTTGCTCGATGGAGAAAGATTGTCACGGTCTACTGTCAATGCGAACTTACTTTTCCTAAGGATAAACTGATAGCAATGAGTGGGCTTGCGAAGGCATTTTCCAGCCTGCTCAAGGAGGATTATTGTGCTGGTATATGGGGTGGTGAGCTGCTTGTTCCTTGCCTTCTTTGGAGAACTTTCCATCCGTCTACGCCCTCTACAGAGTACTTAGGTAAGTACATTCTTCCAGAAGTTCTCGGGTTCATCTCTGATTCAAGACAGCACCTTCGTGGTCTTGGGCCTGTCGTAAAGGACCTACCGTTCAATCACCTGGTGCGATTTTAAAGGTCTTTATCCGCGACGCATCATTTTCGGCTGTGCCAAAGAGCAGTGATATCTTTGGTCAGCTCATATCAGCGGAACTCACGCTAACAGGGAAACCTCTTGAAATCCCAGAGTTCACCACCTGGCTCCACCGGGTCAGGTACAAGATGCAGTCTACCTTCGATCGCGAACCTCACGTGGAGTCAAATAAGCAAGTCTACTTCCTACCACTTGCACATCTCTCCCATGTTTACAGTGAAAGAATGAAGGTTGCGTATATTGAAGGTCTGTTCATCCAAGTGGCCTCTCGACGCCCTGAGACAGGTCCGACCGCCTTTAAGCGTGTCGGGTTTGGTCAAACGAGAGAAGCTGGAGACGGCGGCATGAACGAGCACCCTCGGTATGATGAAATTTGTGATGACATATTTGGTACCCCCCTTTTGGAACTAGAGAAAGATCTGGAAACAATCATCCTCGTCTAGAGAGGAAAACACCGGCTCATTTACAGTGCCAGGCTCGTCCTAAACGTCACGGCTTAAGATTTATCAGCAGCGGGAACTTCTTACTGTCATTATTACAGATAGGTAGAAATAATCGAATTCATGTCCTCTCCAGTATGTAGTGGAAGTGTGGTGTGAAAAGCATAAAGTTCAAAAATTTATTCATCTCTTCATTGTTTGCATTCAGGCAAACGTGCGCTGCCATATTCCGTTGAAAGCCATTTACCATCCACATAATCCTCAAACCCATAAAAGCTAAAGCAAGCCATCACGAAGATTCCTCTTTGAATCCCCATCCCTTGTCGTCTTTGACAAGAGCAACCCGCATGTGTTGTGCCCGCTGGCGAATATCCTCAACAGAGTTAACACCAGGCGCAGATGGTTTCTGGACCTCACCTTCCATGCTGTGGAAAAGGAAGAGAAGTGGCATCACGGACGTCTTGAAATCATTGCGGATTCGCTCATCGCCCGACCGTCCCAACATCCAAAGCGTCGTGGCAAAGAATCCCGCCGCCAAGGCCAGCACAGCAGCTTGCAGGGCCATCCACCGCCACCTGACATCAACACACGAATTCATCTTCATGACCTGGCCATCAAGAGGAAGGCTGAAATTCGCGTAATCTGCGGCTTGGTTGTTGGCCTTTCTGTTTCGTGCGTAAACAGTCAGGGCGGTGGCGACTGAGTCGAATTTATCGTCGACGAATGAGAAGTTAGTCTCTCCCATGTTGAAAAGGCCCTTCCCAGCAGTACTAGTCCCCTCTCCTGCGCCTTGGAAACCATCCATAATGTAGCCTACAAAGAAGTTGAGGAAGTAACTGCTCAGGGTATTGGAATCAGTCCTGTCTCCCTGGTAGATGCACTCGTCGCGCACATTCTTGGAGAGAGTGTCGTTGTACTGGTAGGAGAAGATGCCCAGAGAGAGATTGTAGGGAAGCCACTCGGTCGAGTCGTCAAACACGTAATTCTGGCTACGCAGATAGTCTTTTTCGGCAGAGTTGGCGCATTTCATGTCCACAGTGCTGAAGCGGATACCGCCATCTTGTTTCCACCCCCATTCAGTTGTTGACGACAGAATGTCCTCCTTAAACTCGCCTTTGTCGACAGTGCCATGGTACCGGCGAACACAGGGGGTGAGAATGCACTCAGCCGCTCCGTAACCAAGACACGTCCAATTCGATGCTTGGACTCCGCCCTCACACTTATCAGCTGCCTCCTTTCTTACAGTGTCGTTGCCAGTGCCGAAGACGATCCGCACGCCACCACCGAGGGTAGGTCTTTCTGTGGTGTTGGACGGGCCGATGACAAAGCCATATTGATAGCCGTTGCTTTCGACTTTCCAACCAGGAACGCTTATGTTCTGGGCCTTGGTAGCATTGTCAATCTCTCTCGTCTCAATCTTGCTTGTGAAGTCGGTGCATTGCCGGCAGTAGCCTGCCGAGGCGTAGTCGTCCTCGAAGGTGCAGTTCCCTGATGAGCATGTGGGAGCGACTTGGGCGCGTTTCTCGTTGAACATGCCGACATACATGGCTGCCTGCGCAGGTAGGTCCATGTTGGACATCATGGCCCCCGTGTGTATGCCACCTGTCGAGCTAACGAGGTTCGTGCGGCTGATTTGGGCCATGGAAGACGTATCGATCTCTGAACAGGAATAGTACCTCACGATTTGTTGACTAGTACTGCAGTCAGCCCAATCCTTCAACGTAACCATACAGGGGTTGGGTAGGTGTTACCTAAAGGGTGCCACGAACATGGCCATGATGATAACCAGTGCTCCGATCGAGGCCGCGATATGCCTGATATCATATCAGAAATGTCTGTCCAAATTATGGGGTGTGGGATCTCGGCTTACCGTCCGCGAAGAACCCAGAGGAAAACAATAGCGCCCCAAGGGCCCTTTGCACCCTCGTCAAATGCCTGAAGATCAGACAGCTGCCTTGCCCTTTGGAACCAGAGGAACTTCAGCTGCCCCAAAGCCGAGGAGATTATCAGCATCAACGCCATATCAAATATGATGACGTAGATCGAAATCAACGTATTGATAGACAGTCCATATGGCCATCGAGGCAGCGGCTGGCCCTGGAACGGGTAGACAGTGCCGATGAGTGCGCAAAAGGACCCGACCACGAGAAAGCAGGCAATGAATTCAGGCCACCATATCGCAAATATTCCCCTATTTACTGTCGCAGGTCTCGGTTTCTCCGCAGTCTGATGGAACTGCTCAGAGACGTTCTCGTGAGCATCTTTGTGTAAAAATGTGTCGTTTTCGGGCGCTCGAAATTGCCTGTCTGAGTTGTCGAAGCTGTTCATGCGTGATACTTGGTCTCGGTCGAGCGAAGGCCGCCCCGATGAATCGAATCTGGCCGCCATTCTTCCCAGCACGCCTTTTTCCCAGTCTTCCAAGCGGTATCAGGCGGTCAGTTGCAAGTTGGACAAAAGGACTAGAAAATGAGGATCGGCTGGGGCGAGGACACTTATTATCTATGCAGTATGAAGAGTGGCGACGGCACTAGGCAGGCTTCGGCAAATCCCCCGCTGGGACAGGGGAAGATCGGTCACTGCTGACTGAGGCTGAGGGCCAATTTCAGGTTTCAGACCCCATCCTGCCGGCTTCTGCCCAATTGCAACCTGGTGCGTATAGCCCTACAAGCCCTGTGAGCGGGCACGCGCGCATGAGAGCCATTAATAATGGTCAGCCTGGGCGGCTGGACCGGCACTGGGCTTGTCAGATCTTGGCGCGTGTCAGATTTTAACCTCCCTCATATGAAGACATAGTTGTGGTAAAAGATGGGCGAGTACGCGTGCCAGCTTAGATTCTCCTCTCCGGGACTCTGTCTCCGCGTCCACAGACCACGGACCGAAGAGCCAAACTTTCCCCACATGAGCAGCGTGGACTGCTTGGAGAAAAAGTCAATGCAGGCGAGCATGCGAGGCCGCAGCTCCGGGCTGTGCGTTTCAAGTGCAATATTGGCGATGGGCCACAGAGACGGGGTTGAGTGCCCGGCTTCGAGGGTCTTGAGCGCTTCGATGTGCTGGAGGGCATTCCTGACCAGGCCCTGCACCTCGCGTATTGGGACTCCCTTCAAGGTGCGTTTCAGATAAAGTAGAGAGGCGTAATAATATGTATATCCGTAGTGGTAAATCAGCTGCTTACCCTGTGGGATACTGATCGGCGACTCCCAGGGAGATGGCATCATAAGAAGAAGCTCGAATTCAAGTGCATCTATCTCCTTTAAGACCTCAGCACTGAAAGTACGATCTGCCGAGGTATTTTCGGGGTGTTGCTGCTCTTGCGCCCGCTTCTGGATGTCATTCATTCTATGAATAACCTCCAGGATTGGCTTGGGTAACCCAAAAATCGACTCTATTAGGTATGGCCCAGGGTGCGATTCAAGGTTGAAGCGCAAATCCCACCCATAGCCACTGCGGTCCCCCGGGAGAATCTGGGATTGAACTAAAGTTCCCATACATAGAAACATCTGGTATATCATGGACGCTGACTCCGTCTGATACCAGTACTCAACGCCGACATGATTCACCCACTCAACTGCGCCTCTTATGTGGATACGCCAAAAAGAGTCATTGACAGTTATGTCTTCAGTCAGTAGGCATATAATCAAAGAGGCAAGAATTGGAGCATATTGGCTCTCATCATCAGTCCGAATATTCTCTCTGAGATAGCAAATGCCCATTTCATGATGCTCAAGTGCCAAACGCTCGAACTTGCGTCTTTCGTCCCCAATTTCGCACGTGTTAGATAGATGAAAGCCTGAGGCCGAGCATATCATATGGAATAAAGCAACGGCGCCTGTCGATTGTGAAGCGTCTTCCTGTGCGCCCTCCAGAGCTAAAGGTGTAAAAACGGTTCGTATCGGGTTCAGGATGCCCGGTAAAGGATTCAACGCATCACATAATCGGAGGATCCAGTTCTCCAGAATCTTGCATCTGCTGGCGTGGTCCGACAAGCCGTCGAGGTGTCGAAACTTTGGCTCTGTAATCCCAGCACCCGTAAAACCTGGTGGTGCTAGAAACGGCTGCTTTGGAGGTAATTGCTGGTCATTTGGAAGCCACGACATGTCCCGATATGCTTCTGTCCTTTCATCTACGCCTGTTTGGCCGGTCGTATTAACAAGATGCGCTACCGAACCATCTCGAGGAGCATCGATAGTCATACTTGGCTCTCGTGCCACCGGGTTTGGCTCAAAATGGTGCGTTGTCCAAGCCGGCGAGGGAAACTCTCGGTGATCATCCAGGTGGTTTGGAACGATTTGGGGAGACCTGTAGCTGTGTGGAGAGGCTGTAGCCAACGAGGGCTGTGGGGGAGATGTGGCACGAGTTGCTGTGCCTCTGCCCTGAGAATCTCGATTATCCCCCAGAGCACCAGGCAATTGAGGGTGGCCACATTCTACCTGACCAGAGGGAGCGCTTTGTCCCTGGGGTCTCGCATTGCTGGCCGATGACCCAGCATATGGCCGCTTTGGCTGGACCTGGTCATTTGCGGGTGGAGCTGGATTCTGTGAAGGGGAGGCCATTGAACTATCAATGAGCAACTATCAAGGAAGTTATGAGGCATGAGTACCTCATCTAACATCCCAATTACTAGTCAGATTTAAATCAACGGAAAATGGCAGCCGTGGTAGAGTTACAGGCAACAGAAGAATCTGCTGGACGGGACAGATTCCAGTTGAATTGCATTAATAATCCAAAAGATAAGAGCAAACTGAAGACGCTAGACTGATTGAGGCCCAAACAGCGCGTTTGACTCAGCAGTCTCCAGCAACTACCCTATAGAACCGAGTTCCCTTCTATAACACCATCCGATATACATGGACGGATTGTAGACTGTCCAACACATTTATTACCCACTAGAGAGTGGCGGCATAAACTTTGATGGAGCCTACTTAATGAAGCATTAAGGAAGTGTGCCTTTTTGCAGTGACTAACTCACAACCATAGAACTTCGCAAACCTTGAGTCAAAATTCTGTTCAGCATGGTATCACCTAGGGTTAGGGTTAGGGTTAGGGTTATCGAAATACAATCTATACATCAACTATAAATATTACACTCCGTTTGGGGGTATCTCTATATTGAAATATAGGCCTTAAACGCCAAGGGGTTGGATTTATTTTGATGGGCAATGTTGAAGGCAACGTCTTGTTTTTAAGGGTGCTGCTAAATGTATCTTATAACAAAACATGTTCATCGATATGTCTGTATCATCCTCTGCTACCTTGGCAGCTTTGAACATTGAGTCATCCCCTCAAGCACCTCCTCCTTTGGTTTCTTGTTTTTGTTGATGAAAAGGTTTACCGAATGAATGGTGGTATATATAATACATCGGAAGTTGCCTCGGATATCTAGAATTAAACCGCTTTGAAATAAATAAATGCCGCCTAGTCGACCTTCCTGACCGCGGAAAATCAACGAATCTCATCGAATGATCTTGTTGTCGTTGTTACTGTCCTAGTTACCGTAATGCCCATCAAGTTCCCTATCGCCTTAGTCCGAGCAGAATCGCTATCTCGACTGGTCCTGTCTTTGGACACATGAGTTTCAACTCCCACCGCCGGATGCATTCTGCCGCTCAACTCTATCCCCAGTTCCTCCTGGCTTTCCGTATGATCTTTGGTGTGAGATCTTAAGTAACGGCTCTGGAGGGGTGACTTGCGGGAGGAATGGAAAGTCAAGAATTCGGGGATCAATCGTTTGATAAGGACTGCGACTGCGGGTAGACAGCAAACAATAATGGCGATGGCCAACTCGATTCCAGTCCAGTTGAGCACCTCTGTATAATCCCATGTCGGGTTTGCGGATCTCCCAAACATGGTCAAATATCGTAGACGAATGCTGGATGTGATGACCACCAAAACTCCCAGATTAAACATGACGAAGATTCCCCATTTGGCCCGGGTGTCCACCTTTAGTTTGAAAATGGACGGTAGGGGTAGCGCGATGATGACGACGTCCTGGAAGATGCTGATGCTGGCAGCGATGTAGACAAGAGTGTGGATGTCCATACATTGATCTCTGTAGAACTGTAGGCGCCAGCCGAGCCAAACCAATTCCAGAGGTCTACACTGAAAGATCTGAACGAAAACCATGATGAGTGCTGGGAATATGACCACGCCCAAGGTGACATATGATGCGATCCTGAATGTTTTGTCGTTGAATATTCGAAGGTAAAACACAACAATGGATACTTTGCATAAGCCAAGTGCGACGAGATATAATATTTCGGAAACATAGAAAAACTAAGGTTCGGTCGGTTAGCATTTTCACCATCCGTATTAGCCATGGCGAAACGAGGAAGGCATGCCCTCACCTTGAGAGCGGTTATAATCTGATCGTAGTTTTGGTTCCACATGTCGATGCCGAATGCCAACTGACCAGCTAGATAGCGTCAGTTTTGAGAGTCCAATTTCGACAAGGTATCGAAGATCAAGGAGGTCGACTCACTGTACTTGGCACAAGCAAGATACGCCGAGTAAATTGCCTAGAAAGCGATTTCTGTCAGTCCCAGAGTCTGTCTTCTTCGGTACCCAAGATTGCGATTTGGGAAAGAATAACTAACGCCAACAACAAGCATGATGTAGTCATCAGTCTCCCACTGGCCGATTGTGAGCCATCTAGAAAATAAACGGATCCATGGTGAGACCCAGGCCGGTCCCTCGACAATAAACGGGAGGAGCATCTGGTATCGACGATTACGGTACGGTCGTTGGCATGCGTTGGCCTCGATCTTCGCGACCTCTGTTCCAAACAGTATTAGCTTCGTGCCCTTCTTGGTATTCGGTTCATTCGTGTCGCATACCGAGTGCGTCGGTCGAGTTGCATTTGTTGACGATGCAGATCTGGGCGGTGCTGTAGAAGTCGTTGTCGCTGCAGATGCATGTCGCGTTGTAGCCGCACGATGACGACGTTTTGATGACGTCCACGAAGCAATTTAGCTATTAAAAGAAATCGGTCAGTCAAACTTGTTGTTCTTGCCGGCATGCATGGTGAATGTGATGGGCACATGTCCAGATGGGTAAATCGAGAATGAAGCACAGGAGAGTCGCACCCCGCATGATGGCAGCTTGGTCAGTTCTTCGATGATGTTGAATTCCGCCCGAACGCTCCCGAGCCATGCCAGAAGAAGCGTGAGTCTAACAAACAACTGCTTCGTAGAAATGGCCATGGCGGGCCAGCGGGCACTTGTTACGTGGCTATCAGCTCTTAGCAGGATGGCGACAATTTGGTTGATGATGCGATGATTGTGAAGTTGGAAAATCGAAGCAGCAATAAGTGAATGAACGAAGTGGTGGCTCGACCAGGTTAGGACGAAAGACAGGGGATGAAGGAGATGATGCCGTTTACGTACAGGTCTCCGTCCGTTCCAAGATCTCTGGGTTCTGAAAACGAGGAAGACTTCCAGCCGAGGAAGGATTTACTGCTCTGTAGTCAGCTAAGAGCAGGGGATTGATAAGTCGATACGCTGAAGGGGTAACTCCTGGCGAACCCAACAGGAGCAAACGGGGTGACCGCAACCCTAATTCACCTCGGTCTATGGTCTGTAGGTTCGCTTCTGCCGAACTGTTGTCTTGGCCGCAATGCACAATTGCGTCGGCGGAGAATTTGATCTTCGTCGATGACAGCCAATTGTCCCTGCCAACGGTCGATGGGGGCCACCCACATGGTTGACCAGGGCCTGGTTCCATCTTGACTTTTGGCTGGGATTGGTTGATTTCCTGCAGCACGGAAACACCGTTCTGCCCAATGAGGGAAGTTGCATCGTCGACAAGGGGCAAGGTGTTTGGGAGGGCTCATTAGCTGCCCCCTTACAGGCTTGCTCTCCTCCATTCAGGATGCATTGGCTGGGAAAGAGGCCACTCGGCAGGGGGAGAAAACTAATAAAGCAGGTGATTCGGACCATGGAACCGCACCACACATCCAACTGCCGGCACGCTGAAAACGGTGGGTGGGCCAATCCTTCGTCTACCTTGTTTCCTCACCAGAGAGGAGTCTATCTTTGGGTCCAGAGCGAGGAGGAATTGAATGAAGGGGGCGCATTCGAAAGGTATAGGCCATCTATGTAATATGTGCGCCATTAGCTGCTTCACGATGCTGGTCGTGGTTGGCATCGAGTACGGCAATTCCGAACCGAAGAGGAAGAAAGTCATGCAGACAATATGACGAAAACGCGGAAGTAGTACTATGTACTGTACGCTGATGATATCCCACCTTCCACAAACACGTTCCGATGTTACCATGGCTGGTACTTGGAGAGGAGGAAGCATACAGGACTGAGCATCCGCCAACTCTTGGTATCTGCGGAAATAAAATGTATTTGACTGCCTGTCTCCTGATAGCCACTTTGCTTCTACGCAGCGCATATGAAAAGATTTCTTGGAGCCTCCCTGACTAAGACTTCATCTACGTTGTCGGTGGTTCGGTAGCCATTTCACTTCATCCCTGAAGATGACAATAGGACTGGGTCTTGTTAGATAAGCCTGAGAATAAATGCCAAGCTTGGCGCGTGCGGAAATCAGCGTCGTCCACTTCGATTGTTCTTTCTTTTCTCTCGGAGGATGCCTTTTTTGAAAGATAAATATCCCTAGCCGGTCTGCCTGATGGAGTGACTCTTTAGACTTAAAGATGACCTGTGGCACTTGATCAAAAATGCCTACGAGGCCAAGTCAAACGCTCATTTATCGTATCTAATATGTCTATAAAAATTCATTTATTCATGGGGTACCGCGGAACCGATTTCCCATCTTACACCTTCACTATAGCGCGTCATGAAGGATATCAAATTATAATGATACATATTGAGTCAATGAATAAGCATTGCCCAGCAATGAACTGACATGAAAAAGAGCCCCATTTTAGATTATGCTTTCGTTACCTCCTACTGAGTACATCAGGGTTACTTCGGAGAGAATGCGGGCGATCGAGTAATGGGAAAGAGAAGGAATAGATCCCACTGTAGTCTGAGGATAACAAACCATAGTCAGGCCGAACACCCAGATAGTGAATAGCTTCGGGATACTCCCCCCAACAGCCCTGAAGACCTTGGCACTTGGACAACACTGACACTTCAATTTGGTACAACTACCTTAGGGTTAGACACCACAATTTGGCTGAACGAGTTAGACACGGAAATTATCCTATGGTTTGAAACGATAGAGACATATGTAACCCCAACCTGGGGACTGGGCTCCTTGATAATAATATCCGCGGCCTTCTCACCAACCACCATGGCAGTGTAGTTGGTATTGGCCGCAACGTTGCTAGGGACCACACTCAAATCCGCCAGCTTCGGTCATCATCACGTGGTCAAAATGGGAGTGAGGACCTAAGATAATGACCCTCAAGGGCTTCTTTTCGGTTCTGGTATTGTAGGCCATAGCGGAAGACATATCCAACTTGATTTCTGGAGCTGATTGATTTCCATCTATTGTATTCCTATAATATGTCTGTACCGCTTCATTTTGGAATTCTAGATAGTTGGCACTGCATCACATCCAAAAGGAACGAACTACTACTCCTTCTCTCCCAAGGAGAAACTTTGCCCGGTGATTCCGTAGTTTCTGGTTAGTCGCCTCCCATACCGTCTAGCTGTCCAAAATGACAGCTTTCCGCTAGGGTGTGGCTCGTGGAAGTTGATCGCACTCTCTCCGAGTATCTTCCCATCCTTGGGGGTAAATCGCCATACCGAACCATACAGTTTCTCGGAATTAAATCCCACGGCACGCATAGCATGCAAGAAATCTGTCCAGGCCACTTCGCCTGGTGATGCGTCTGATGAGGGAACGTGGAACACCACGCCAAAGGTGCGATATGCACGATTTTTCAATGTGAATCGGGGAAGGTAAGCACCAAGATCTTGGGCATGGTCTAGAGGTGTCTGTGAACTCTCCTCGTCGTAACCCGAGCCCGGCTGCCCGGTTGTCTTGGGCTTCACCCTTATTTCCAGCTTGCTCTTGTTGAAAGGCTCGTCGGTCCACCCGTCGAACTTGACATTGACTGGTTCTAGGTCCTCGATCGTTTGTTGGGCGGGTCTGGTCTCAGGTTCAACCCAGTCAGGGGTTCGTCGCAGCTCCTCCTTCTTGGGTACCCCAGTCTGAAGTTTCTCGATAGTTTCCGTGGATAAATGCTTTTCGAGATGCGCATCGTACTTGTCCCATATCTCATCAAGGTGACGCTCCGCTGCCTGTAGAGTCTCGGTGTTCTCCTTGGTGCGGCTCCTGCTGGCCGGATATCTCAGGTTCCCATTCGACAGATCGACTTCTGCACCGAGATTCAAGTATTTGTCTCCCGAGTGTGCAATTGAGCAAATCATTTTGAGATGATGTAGCGGCGTCAGGACGCCCAAAAGTTCAGAGTCCTTCACCACCTGCGCCAACTCTTCAGGCTTGAAGGTGAACTTGGCGCCAAGTCTTGCGAAATAGTTTGGGCTGAGCATGCGAACCTGTTTATGGAGCTCGCATGCCAGCCCCAGATCTGCGATGAAACGGGCCGAGAGAGCCGTGATATTCTGTCGCTGCTGTTTGTCCGTGTGGATGAGATGGGCGAGTTCTATAGCGGCCACACTGAGCGGGACGTCCGACTCACGATCGCCGAGCTGGCCCATCAGCCAAAGCACCTCGTGCCTATTCATGTTGGCCGGGTTCTTTAAGTTGAGGCCCCCCCTCTCCCCACAGACAAAAAGATCCCGCCAAGGAGGTGAGCATGGCAAGATGGTCCTGAGCTCGCGTGCTCCTTTTTCGATGACACGGAGCTCAAGGAGAGTGATGATGCGCTTCAAAATAGCACGATAACCGGGGACATCCTCCTCGTCTTCACATTCATACTCGCCACTGGCGAACTTTTCATGGAGAGAGGCAAGCTTGCCGAACTGCTTGGCTAAACACCCCCACACCGCTATCCCCTCGTACGGCTCGTTAATGGCACTGCTGGCGTTTTTGGACCACTCCGTTAGTTGTCCTTTTATGGTTTTGGTAGCAGGGTCCAGTCTCCCACTATACGATTTTACGTTTGCACTCGAGTGTTCATGCCAATCTCCGATGACTTCCGCGAGAAAACCCGGGTCCTCACGCATAGCCCAGCCGTAGTCTACCCATTCTGCCATGCGGGTGCGGGCGAGCGAGGACAGCCGAGCGACGTCCACCTTCTCGGGGACGAGGTAGGGACGTGCAAGTGCCAGATCTGTCACCGAGGGGGAATCCTCTCCAGGGTAGAGGGACAAAGGAGGGAGTTCTGGGGCGACAGGACCCGTCTCGGCGTACACCTCCAACGGCTTGTCCTGCAGAATGAGAGCCACGATGTCCCGCAGAGCTTGAAGCAACGTTGCTTGAACATCAAGAACGAGGAGACCCGTGGGCACCTTTTACAATGTTAGAAGGGTTGCATGGCATCTCAGGGACACGATAAATATGACTCACGTTTGGAATCCTGCCAGCAGTCGCTTCCGTGGCGCTTACTTCATAATCCTCAATCTGCCCATACTTCTCCGGATCCTCCGTCCACAAGTCCATACGATACGCCGCGTCTACGTGGTAAAAGGGCGGGGGTTTCAATGCCTCGGCCCAGATACCGAATCCGAGACTTTGCTCATCCAGGACCGCAAACTGGGACGGAGGATGCCTCACTCTGGAATTGAGGAGAACAAGCAATGCATTCCCACGCGCCAAGTCCTCCAAGTTCATGTACGGAAGCGCATAATTCTTGTCCAAGCCGTCGTCTCCATCAGATGCACCCCGGGCTTTAGATCTGCGCTTGTAGGCTGCAAGGTCGGGTGCGTGGGCAGCAGCCATGTCGGGCCATGCCCTGCGGAGGAGATCCTGGCGCTGCCGGGTGCTCCTCTTTGCCCAACGCTTGTGGATAGTGGCCTCGTGGCGATCAAGCACATTGATTAAGAGCGTGATTGCCTCCAAGATGGCCTTGGACGAGCGGGATGCTCTGTCTCTGGCCTCAGTGATGGATAAAGACCTCTCCTCGCCAAGGTAGCCTCCATTGGTAACAGAGACAACACCATCTGGAGCTATCGACATAGTACGGAACTCGCCCGGAGCAAGGTCTGGGTTGAGGAAAATGTTTTGGTGCGCCATTCTGCGATACGGACTCGTGAGGGAATGTGAGACGGGGTGTGTTGGTGCAGGGCTGATGAATAAGGCAGCTTCGTCCTACTACCCAGGGCAACTCTCAAGATAAAGCCGAGGGGTTTACTCTCAGCAAGAGCATGCGTCTTCTCCAGGTATTCTACCGGAGCACCGTACCTAGGAGGGCCCCTCAAGGTTGCTTGACCTGAGAAAAGGGTCAGCTGATCGAACCAGTAAAGGGGAAGCCAATCATCATTACTTCGCGGAGTGTAGGACAAAGCGGTCGTCAATCACGGGGAGTTGCAGCTTCCTAGTGGATTGCATGTCGTATGAGCACCGAAAGCACCCGTGACAAGTAAAGAATACAGCTACACCCGCACGGGGGGGTTCGCTCCTATTTATAATTTGCCGTATATCGGCCCAACTCACCGCTAGAAGAAGCCTAGAGGGTATATGAAACGTACGGGTCGAGCTCTTGCTTTAATAATCAAGACATATTAGCCTACTAACCAATAGAAAATCATGGATAATGCGAGTAGTGGGTAGCGTCTGCAAGAGGGAGAAAGGATTCCTCCCGCTAAGGGAATGATTGGCCGCTACCCTAACAACTTTTGTCCCTTAGAAAAAGAAAGCTCAACATACGCTGTGCTCAAGGCGCGCTTACCGGTGACATAAGAAATGAGACATCAAATTGAAGGACTACCACTTTCTAGAATGCTTCGGCAATATGAAGCGAAATAAAATAACAATCTTCCGTGTACTGCCTCTTGTATATTCGCTATTAGCACTCAATGATCCGACAACATTATCACAGACTTGAAGTAGGTAAGCAGTATAATATTGGTCTCATTCTCAATGCCACCCACGTTTTTGCCCAATGCGTCACCGCAGCCAACCTTTACGCCCCCTGTTTTCACCGCTCGTCAATACGTGTCCCATTGACGAGTATCCCTAGCTGTGCTCTTGCCGCTATGTATCTGAACATACAGGTGATGCATATTTAGCGATGCCAGAGCCTTGGCAGAGGACCTTGAGAATCTGCCATCGAATTTCTAGTGGAAGATTATACTACGAGCATTGCGAGTGATCGAAACTGGAAAGGAGGTTAAACCTGAAAGATGAGACAGTAAGGTGGGACGATCATGGATTCTAGGGGACGAAGCTCTTTAAATATTCCATCAGACATCGATGAGGCTTCGATACTTGGGAAAACCTACTGATACGGCCCGTGTCAAAAAGACTCTGCAGCCAACACAAGGGAAAGATAAAATCAAAAACATACGTAAAAGAGCATAAAGTTCAATAGCAATAGAAGATACTAGAGCCTGATATCTTAATCTTCTCTTAAAGATAAAAGAATTATTTAATTTAACCCAAATAATCTATTTTTATTGATTTGGTAGCGGTAATTCTTTTTACGGATCACTTTATTGGCTCGCAATGCTTTAGATTCGTCAATGATGGCACTGAGAGTGCCGTTTTCTTATTTTGGCATGGCTTGTTGAGATAAGATCAAGTCTAATTTGCTTCATGCGGGTGGCGGCTTCTTTTACTTAAATGAGGTTTAGGTTCTTGTTAGTATTCCGCCGGCGGATGAATGTTCGGATTGAGCTCGCGCGAAACAGACCGAAAAGGTTCCGAAACAACGACAGCTCACGTCAGACGCCATCACCAAATCCAGAATGGGTAGTGAATTTAGAGACAACGGCATAATACACATTCAGTAGATCTAATGACGATCTCAGATCTACGGCGGCTATCTATATTGACAGCGCCACTTAGCAAGGCATTCTGGAGAAATGGCATTTCTCAAAATGGAGCAAAATGCGCGTGTCAGGGCAAGAAAGTGTCTGCGGTTGATGGTTTTCATGTATAAAAGATTGAGACACCTCTTTGAAAGAAAAGCTCCATGACCATCTCCTATTTACAAGACAAAAGCGACGTGTCCCAGTGCACTTCAATTCCAATCTTCCATTTCTCTACCAATTCCTCGGTTCCCTCGATCCCAATGCCCTTCTATTATCAACATCACGGGAAGGCAGCCCCTAACAAGTGGGTTGCCTTCTGGCGAAAAGTTTACAATCCTCTTGGCTTCCAGAAAGGATACAACTTTCCTTTATGGTTTATCTTCTGTGGCGCTGCCCTTGGCTTTTGCGCCTCACGAAGTATCTATCTGAACTATGATACTACGTTCAAGATGGACCACCTTGTTAGCGGAGATTGGCTTCATATGTCCAAAGGCATCATTCGAATTGGCACCCTTATGCACCTAAGTGCTGTTGTTCCAATTGGGTTCTTACTTCCCCTGCAATTCCTCCCTATTGTTCGATATAAGGCAATGCTCTTCCACCGCATCACGGGATATCTTCTCATTTCTCTTCTGTTAGTCGGTAATGTAGGAGCAATCATCATGTGCCCGCGCGCCTTAGGCGGCTCCGTTGACGTCCAAACTTTGACCGGCATGCTTGCTCTGATGACCACTGGTTCCGCTCTCCTCGCATACATCAATATCAAGAGACTCCAGATCGATCAGCACCGTGCTTGGATGATGCGGTGCTGGTCGTATGCATTCATCATCATTACTCTTCGCCTTATCCAATACCCGATGATGCAGCTAGTTGGCTTGAGAGTGGCGATACATATCCCAATGGACTGTGAAACAATCGACTTCTCAAATTCTAAGAACGGCGACAATCTGGCTGCCAAATTTTACACTGCGTGCGAGATAGACCATGACTCCGTTATTGGTGTCTTGGCCGATTTTGCTCCCCAACCAACTGTCGACGGGCTGGTCCCGTTACATCAGATCGGTGCGGCAATCAGGGCCTCGTTTGGGCCAGCGGCATTCCTAGCCATCGCGATACACGCAATCCTGGTTGAGCTCTATCTTCATCTCACTCAGGCTGAGGCTGCCCGATTAAAGCGGGTGAGCTACGAGCGGCAGAAGGCAAGAGGTTGGAAACGCCCAGGGGATGCAAGCTGGCTGACCAAGGAGACGTGGGGAGACATGGAACCGTTCAACTATACAAAGCAGCCCGAGAATAAGGATACCACACCTAAGAATGGCAATCAAGATGGGGACGAATCAGAGATGAATGACATGGGCGAGGCACATGCTCTTCGCCCATTGGTGAAGCAATCAGATGCAGGGCAAACGGCCGCCACCTTGGAGAATCAGCCATACGACCCACAAGCTTGGCAGAGACATGGCTAGTTAGTTCCCCCAAGGTTCATTGCCCTCTTCCTCGGTTGCTTTTTCCGGATATGGTCATCCTCAGCAGGCTCACTACAAGGAAGTTTGATGGGAGTAGCTATTCAAGTGTTCATCTTTTATATCCAATATCCAAGACTTCTATAAATCAATCAGAAAAGGGCAGAGAGATGTTGCTTCTAAATTCAGACTCATAAAACAAGTTATCCAACTTTCTAATACAACAAACAGTCTTATCCAAATTTGTGAGGGTTATTCATGCGTTATGTTATTGAGATGACGAAGATTCCGTCGAGTTATCAACTTTCTTTCCCTGTCCACTTGGAGGCGCAATCTCTGTTTCAATAGAAAGAGGCTTCCCAAAGATTGGGTTGTTCTGTGCATCAAATGTGAGCTTCTGTGCCATCGTGTATCGGTTTACCCCACAATGTCCCTTAGGGTTGGAAGTGGCGTGGAAAAGGTTCTAGATCTTCAGTTAGATGGCAACTCCGAGATTGTTTCTCGTTCAGCGAATAGACAACTTACCCAGATCTCGGTCCCATCTGGGGAGCTGAAAAAGGAGTTGTGTCCAGTTCCATAGTGGCCATTGGCCGAGGACAAGACCGGCCCTGTCTTGTCCCATGAAGATGCTTTCAGAGGGTCCCCTCCATTATAATGAAGCAGCCCAAGAGCATACTGAGGCGCGGAACAGTCTGATCCGGAATAAGACAGCCAAACCTTATTGCCGTGATAAAGTGCCTATTAAATTATTTAAAAATCTTGGTTCCACAGGGTTATTTTTCAAGGATAGCACTCACGTATGGTCCTTCAACCAATCCCTTTCCGGTCCTCAGAGCTTTACTCCCAGCACCATCACCATCGAACTTCTCCCAGGGCTGGTCAGGTCGGCATATGACGTTCCATCCACCAACCTTCCACTTGCTCGTGTCTAGCGTAGCAATTCCGATGGACTCCAGTCCATTTTCGTCGAGCATGCTAAAAACATGATACTCACCTTTCCCCGGAATTTTCAAATACGACCCGTCGATGCTGTGGGCATTATTCTTCGAGGGGCCACCCCTCTGACCCTCTGGAGCTACCAGGTCACCGCCGAAGGTGTAGGTGCAATCAGAGGGGTTTGGGCCATCACAGCCGCGCAGGAATCGAGTACGGAAACCTTCTTTTTCATTCATACCCCTACTCGAGTAGAATATAATCCATTTTCCATTTATTCGGTGCATCTCCGGGGCCCAGATAGCTATATTCCGAGTAGTATCAGAATCCCTCCAGACGGTCTTGGTCTCCCCTTTGTTCAACCCTCCAATTGTTGGAGACTTCGTGATCTGAATATGAGTGGCGGAGGTATAAGTACTATCTTTATTATTATGACGTTATTGTTTTTGAGGTCCAAGATAGCTTACAGGTGGTAATTGCCATCTGCCCATACCATTGCTGGGTCTGCAGCTCCCTTGCGGATGGGATTATAGAAGCCCAGGGAACGATTGACCTGCGCAAGCAGTCCAATGACTGAGAGAACTTTGAATGAACGCATAATCTAAAAATTGGTAGAACACCTGGAGATGAATATGAAAGATGGGTTAGGCGGCAAAGCTTCGAATAGTCTACTTAGATTTCATAGCTACCTAGCAGGAGGGAGGCGGTTCGGTTCTCTCTTTATACTACGGCTAATGTGAGAAGAATATGAACTTAGCTCCTTGACCAAAAGACTTCCGGCCGTATACTCAGCAATCAAGTTCGAAATCAAGTATGTATCCTTGTTGTCATGAGGACCTTCAGTACCCCTACGGCCCTCGCCGCATTACTGCCTCATCCTCTTCAAGTCTTGGCTCCAAGCCTCACACTAAATTTTGCGCTCCAAAAGAGGACTTCAGCCGATGATCATCCATCATTCGAGAATATGAGTGAGCTGAGGCTGACTGTGACTGAACAAGCCGTACTACGTATACCATCAACTTGTGCAGTCCGGGCTAAAACTCCAAGCTTGTTGCGAGATATCCCTATCATCTCGTTATCTGAAATACCATATGAATTAGTCTACCAATGGTTATGTGGAGCTAATTGAACGTCGAACTTCAAGGTCAAGACCGACATATTCTCTCGGCAGACATGCGAGGAACAACAGTGCGTAATCTGACTGTTCACATTCTAGGTAAGATCTACGAAAGTGGACCGGAATTGATAGCCAGCCTTATTTTGCCGGTTACGTCATACTACCACTTAAACGATTTCTGCCCAACTAAAAGCATGGCGCAGTAATTTAGGTTATGTGCGTCTTGACAACCAATGTATACATAGACGAATGTTCCCTAACGCTTCGATCCATGCGCCGATCCTATCACTATCCCAAATAGGATATTTGCCCTACATGCTTTCCAATTTCGCTCCGTCGTCTGACCAGTAAGCTCTGGGACTTTCGTTGTCCATTATATCACCCGAAGAGGCCAAGCAATCGTCCCCGTCCCTGCAGCCATTCTTAGAAAGCATGTGCGTTGTTATGCCAAGAAAGCAATACGGGCAATCTCTTCGCCCAAGCTTTGACACGGCCTTCAAAATTCATGACGTTTCATCTCATTTTATCCCGGAATAGTTAAGATATCAAGGTCATCCTGCAGTTTGGTCCTCTAGGTTTAACGTAGCACCGAAGGAATGACTTCTTTTCAAAAGCCTTGAATTTAATGGGGCTTCGAATAAACACCTGCACAAATTCTCAGAATGATTGAGAAACGAATAGGTCCTTCTGCATTTACATCTTTTGCCGCAGAAGTTAGGAGAAACTTACCTTTGTCGAGACTAGGTTTGCATGTAAATGGGGCCAATCAATTTATTTGAGGAAGACGTTTGGAGAATTGATAAACCAGCAGGCAACCTCAAAAGTCTACTCTCTTTCACCCAACAATAACAACCTGAGGATACCTCGGCTTCGGGTGATGTTGTCATTCTAAGCCTCTAATGATACGTGGGACACTCTTACAGCCTCAATTACAATCATTGTAAAGGGGCTTCTTCGTCTTTGCTTATTCCCAGCAGTACGTGCGCGTGCTAGTGTGCGTATGATCAGCATCCTATCATTTTATCGATTGTGCTTCATCCGCTTGAAAGGTGTATTTTGAGTTCATATATCCATGAAGAAATCGAGAAGATATAGCGTTACAAGAGTCAGGTTCTCAAGGCGATATGTCCGTTTTCCTTTCTAATTTGATGAAGAAAGGATCTTCATCCAACTGGTTTACAGGAGTGATAATTGGGGGGTTTATCGGCAAGCATGCAAGTTGTATCCAAAGATTTATTCCACAGATTTTAATCACCATCAATAGATATCCGGGAGCCTCTATGGGACCTGGAACTCTTTGCTAAGGAGGCCAAAAAGATCATCAATTAACCATTTTCACACCATGTCATCACCTCGAAGCAAGTTGATGAAGAACCTAGGGACTAGAAGCTTGACATAGCAGCAGAGAGTAGAAAACTTTCTAAAGAGTCGCCCATTGCTAGATTCATATTGGAATGATATCGCTTTGAGAGGTGTCAGTCCAGGCACTCGTGCACTCGAAGCCGCGGATTTTACCAGCGCGTAAAAACAGGGATCTTATCAGTGGGTCATAGACACGCTGGCAACTGGTGCTTATGAGTCCACTGACAGTCAGGATGGCAGTAAGCAGTACATTTTCTTAAGTAAATGGCCAACGAAAAGCACCATCTTTGAACACCATATTGACTTCTATACATTTGGTTTTGAACCTTTTCCAAGAGAAAGATGACGAGTGGGCTAGGTTCTATCTGAAGGCGAGGAAATCAAATCAGAAACCCATCAAGTCGTAGCCTATATTTAGAAATAGTAGCCTGTTAAACCTGGTGTTTTAGCGCACTCCTACAGGAACAGGGAATAAGCACAGGGGACTTTTTCTTGGCCACCTATATTTGCAACCCAACCATACCATTACAGTACTAGCCGATGACTGTTGCTGTTACTTGGCCACTTTGTCACCTCGCTAGAAAAAAAACCATAGGGCTGAGCCACGGAAACTGGCGCCTTGACTCCTGGGGCTTCGGCTTTCTGAGCTGATAAACATGAAATCATGAATGGTAAAATTGCACCTCACGATATTTAGTGGTTGAAAAGCAAGAAAAACACAAGTCTAACATCACTACTCCCCTCCCTGTGCTACAGAGCCCGTCTCCTTCTTCGTCTTCGATTTGGCTGATCAGCCAACAGAGTCATCCTGCAGAGTCCAAACATGTACGAATCGTGGTTCACATATCCGCTCACCAGACCCTATCCTTTTCGATGGTTTACGCCGGTCGTAATAATGGGGGGTGTTGTTCTCGCTATACTCTTCTCATTTGCCAATATAGCTTCGAATGGACACTTTCTGAAACCCGTATATACCGAAAACCCGAATGCCACTCTAGCTGCAGGTCTGCGGTAAGATTGCTTCTCCTAGAGTCCGATAACTCTGCTAACAGATTCATAGGTGGTATATGAAACCTCCTTTCAACTGGGATACAACGTTCAAGGCACAGTGCCAGCCCAGCATCATTTCCGTTGGTGATAGGTTCTTTACTTCTTCCCTGGGGCTTCAGTATGAAGTCCAATCTGTTATCAGGGAAAGTGACCAACTCACGCTCCCATCTGTTGCGTACCTGAATAATCCACTTGAAGATTGCTTTCTCCAGAGCTCGGCGCTCGAGCTCCAGAAAGTTGACAGCGCGAAGCAACCTTCTTGGTGGATGTCTTGGACAGAATCCAAAGCATCAGCCCTGGCGTCCTGTAGGATCATAACAGATCAAGGAGCTGTCAACCTCACGCTTGCATTGCAGTTTGCTGGCGGCGAAGTGCCTGTTATTAATAAGAACTACACCACGCATGCCAGCACATGGTGGGGCCAGACGCTGATCAGGAATTACTTTTGGGGTGTTGTGCTCCTCATGTCCCAGGTAGAGATTCCTGAGAACGTTGGAGATTACATCTCGATTGGACGAATCAATTATATAAGGAATCAATCAGAGCCGGAGTAAGCCCAATTCCCGGTGTTCAAGAGCCCTGATCTCAACGTCGCTAAACACACCCAAGTATCAAATCCCGAAACTTTTTTAGCGACAATCATTGGTTTGTTTCAGATGCTTCTTCTATCATCAACACCGAGCAAGATGTCAGTATATCTTCTCAAGACCCTGCCCTATGTGAGTAGACACAAGCTAATTAAATCCCGAGGACTATAGATTTTCATACCAGTGAAGGACGAAGGGCGTCATTATACTAGGCTTCTACAGTCCCTAGCGTCGTTAGATATGGGGAACTGCCAGTCTCCCAACCTTCTTCTAGATCAGGAGAATCTAAAATACGCGATCGTTGATTTGAACAGTACGAGTCGGGGGCCGGGTGGACTGCTCTACGACAAAGCCGAAGATATGCTTAATCCCACTCGAGCGGTGGAGATTGGCTATCCCGACAACCCGGACGAACAAGTATTTCTCAGCGAGGCATATGACAAGATATCTCCCAAAATGGGAGGTCTTGAGTGCAGTAATGCAACGATTGTGAAACAATACCTGTGCTCGGTCCCCCAACAAAAAGCTACCGGCACGATGCTGGTATCCATCCTGTTGACAAACTTAGTCTTCCTACAAGCGGCATGGAAGCTTCTAAACCTGATCTCTGAAGGTATCATGTGGCAAACAGGATCTCGTGTGGATATTTGTCAGGGCTGTATAAACAGGGGCTATCAGGATGGCCTAGAACTACGCGGCATGGCAATGGCTGGGGAAAGAAGTGCAACATCAGTTGAGGACGAGAGCTCGCAAAATTTGTTGCAAGATCAAGAGGGAGAGAATACCAAGCCCAGCTCTATAGTATCTGTCGTATAGAAATAAAATCGTGCTCAAGGCCTAATCTTGGCTGCCAATGTTAGATACGGTCAATTAGAGCTTTGTCATGATCTTTCAGAAAGTCGCATTAGGACAGGGCCAAAGTTATGGAAGACACGGAGGGAACGAAAATTCGAATCCTAGGTTCTCGACCTCACTGATTTATTTAACCGCCACGCCTATTGAATCGATCAAGCATCAGAATGTTATTTGATACTCGCCCCAAATAATTCGGATGATTTCAAGAAAAGGCATGGTGAGAACAAAGTTTCATGTGACGGGCGCAGTTCAACTAAATTCTCGTGCATATGTGAGATCGAGAGACTAGTCTTCGTTTCTATCGTGATCCTGTGATGCTTTACAATTACTTTGGGTCTCAACGAATACCCCTCACGAAAATCCTGTTTGAGACAAAGAAGGATGGGTGATCGCCAGGGATTAATCCGTTCAGTATAGCCGAGTTGAGCGTTATATCGTTTCAAGCGTCAGCATTACAGCTGCAATGCGGCCATATCTCGGCCTTTTCTATAGCCCGCCCGTTCTGCGTTTTCCAGTGGTTTAAATATCGGCAAGCATCATGTATAGCCACCCTGCCCCATCTTCTTCAATTTACATCCAGTGATTGTTCCGGGAGGGGTACGATCTGGAGGCTCTAATTATCTCTTCCATTTCTTTTAACCATTGACACAATGGGCACTCTTATTAGAGAGTTTATCTACCTCGCCGGTATGTTTTCCTGTGGGGTTCTCACAGATGGTGTGCCCGCAACGTCAAATCTTCTCTCCTACCCAGGAGAACGCATCACATGGACACCTTGCGGCCAGGCCGAAAACCACACCCTAGAATGCAGTTCCATTGATGTGCCCATGGATCATTTCAATCTACAGAACCCGGGTAACCAAACCTTTAACATACCCTTGATCCGTCTCCGAGGGCACGATGCTCTTGAGGGGAGAAATCTGATCGTCAACCCTGGAGGTCCAGGCGGAAGCGGCCTTCAGTACATCTATTTAAAGGGCGCTGAAATCAACGCCATTGTTGGAGAAGGTTATCATTTGGTTTCATTTGACCCACGCGGCGTCAACACATCACGTCCGCTGGCTAGTTGCTACCCTGACAGCCAATCCAGACAAAGACTGTCACGGGTGAGGAACGTTGATCCTGTATTGGACAGTGGAGAGATTTTTGCCTGGGCCGATAACTACGTGCAGGCTTGCGCCGATGTCATGGGCGAACATGGCAGCTATATAAATACGCCTCAGACTGCGGCCGATATGAACAGCATCCTAGATGCTCTAGGCCAAGAGAGCATGGCCTACTGGGGGTTTAGTTACGGGTCCCTTCTTGGTCAGACATACGCCGCTCTATTCCCAGAGCGATCGAAACGCATCATCGTGGATGGAATCATCAATATCTTCAATTGGTATAATGGGACTGTGGACTACGAGATGTGGACTGACACAGACACTGTTTTTGATGGCTTCTTTGACGAGTGTATCAAGGCTGGCGAAAACTGCGCCCTCTCTAAATTTGGTATGGGGTCAAAAGAGGTTCTCAAGAAGCGGGTGATTGACTTGGGTGATCAACTCAAGGACCAGCCAGAACCCGCGTACATCAATTCTGCAAGATACGGCCTCATCGACGATCAGAAATTATTTTACGATGCAATTTTCCCAGTACTGTTTAACCCGGCATCTTGGCACAGCTTTTCGCTCATCCTTGCGTCGTTCATGAACGGAAACGCTACAACCATGTTCTCTGTTTTCGGCTCTGACAGCGCGTACACGGCAACAGATGATGCCAATAGCATCCTGCACCTTAACGATGCCCAAACTGGCCCTGAGTACTGGCCACAAGATCGCAAGTCATTCTTGGACATCATTCTCCCTGGAATGAATAGTTCAAGATGGGCAAAGATACACAATGTAGAATACTACAAGAGACAAAAGTGGCAACTACCAAAAACGCACACGTTTCTGCCAACGCAAGAGATGGAAACAGCTCATCCGATCCTTATTTTGTCGACAACTTACGACCCTGTGTGCCCACTCAAATCTGCCAGAGTCGCGAGGGGTGCCTTCAAGAATTCCCGACTGATTGAGGTCCAGGGCTACGGCCACTGCTCCAGCTCGCTCCCGTCCTCATGCTTGACGGCATATGTGAGAGATTTCTTATACAACGGAACACTACCGGAGAGAGATATTCGGTGTGCGAGCGAAATGGAATACTTTAAGCCTCCAACAAAACGGAACTTATCACCACAGATGTTTGGGGGGGATAATCTGATAAATGATTTATACCTAGCGCACCTAAGGAGAAGATAGAGAGTGTGGTGAAGGCTGTTGCGGCAATAGGATTTATTACCATTTCTTGCTTAGTTCTTTGTTGATTCTCGATTATTGAGCGGGATTACGTGCCAACCTCACGTGCATGTTGCTTTACCCCCCTTATCATGAGTTCGAGAATGAGTTAACAATTGCGATTTGGGTCATGATCTCGGAGCCAACAGCACCTCTTAATTGGAATAAGGTGCTCTCGCTTTGGCACTGGCCATATTTTTCAACTTGTAAAACACGTAGCAGCAAGTTCAAGCCAACAAAATGGGGTGCATTTATCCCGATTTCTCTCTGATTCAATTCAATGCAGGGTTTGTGGTTACTAGCTGTGGACAAATAGAAAAAAGCACCTTATCCATCTCGAGACCTTCCACTTGCACGAAAAGTCGGTACCTGTCTATATTCACAAAAATCGACCTCTGTCTCAAAAAAAGGTTGGACGAACAGGGAATCGAACCCTGGACCACTCCCAATGATTCCACATGAAGACCACATGATGCTAAGGGAGTATTATACCACTAAACCATTCGCCCAGATCTTCATCTTTTTCCGAGCAGGCATCATGAAGTGCTGTACCAATTGAGTCGCCAGAACAATACATCCAACCCTAGAATTGCTGTGCAATAACTCAATTCTTGTCAAACATGATATTTTAGGTTATTCATAGGACTTGGATAGTAAAAAGGGAATGAGTCAGATCAGGGTAGAACTATAGAGGTAGCCTAATATACTCAAGTATATGCGCAACACCTCAGAAACAGGTAAGAAACAAATAGCAGACGTGGGTTGTCCTTTCACGAGCTGTAGGCGGTCAATATATCACAATATGAGACAATCAACTGGGTCAGATTAGAGAACAGTATGTGTGGTAGCTATCGGGGCGGTCGAGAACTACCAACAATGCATGAGTGCAGGCTATGGTTAGGGCTAACAAAACATGAGTGGCCAATATTGATTCCCAGAAGTGGCTGTACAAGCCCCTCACGTCATTGTGGGCAGGATTGGGCTGCAATGCAGGTTGCAATCTCATTTGCCATAATGTGCATTTGTGTGTCTCAGCTTACTTCCTCAGCTGAGGCAGACTCCTTCCGACTTCCCAACAGCAACAACACTTGTCTCTACGCGCTGGATTCCTCCTTGAGGCCGAATGAATGTTGTTGGCACTTATTGGAGACCACCTTCCATCCGTTCGACAATTTTCGTGGTCGTGCGTATAGTTGCAGCTCAGTTGTTTGAGAGCCACGTCCACACCAAGCCCCCAGCCTAAATCTCCGCTTGCCCTTCAACAGCAAGAGAATCCTCCACCCATCTTAAGGCAGCTCCCCTTTCAAAAACTCCAACCTTACTCAGACGAGCCCACCAGTCAATCGTCCACAATCCTACAGAAACAAGAAATTTCACATTTACGAACGCCTCCCGTTTGCGATGTCATACTCCCACACTCTGACTTCGATGCTGGAGGATGCTGTGCCATCATGGAATGCGGTCCTAGGAGCACTTCTCTGTGCACTTCTCGGGGCGTTTACGTATGCGTTCTTGCAAAAATATATATCACCCATGCTTCGTCAGCCAAACGATCAGCTAGTGGATGCTGATGGCACAGCCCGCGATGACGTTGCCTCCGAAAGCGAACGCGGCCGTACACTGGCGGATGAACCAACATCTCCCGATACCGGACAGATTGATCGTCAAGGGGCTGTGTCGAGTAGAGAGGGAGATGCCGAACACTCTCCCGCTCAGGGACAGGTCGTGCCAAAACGGAAACTTAGCCGAGAAGAATACACTGTAGGCTGGATCTGCGCCATAACGGTAGAGCGCGTTGCCGCAGATGTACTTCTTGACGAGACGCATGCGGAACCAGAATATAGAGACGAAAATGATGACAACATTTATCTCCTAGGCAGATTCGGAGAGCACAATACTGTCATCGCTACATTGCCGGAGGGGGAATACGGCACAAACTCTGCGGCAAGCGTCGCTAATGACATGGTTCGCAGCTTTCCCAATATCAGATTTGGACTTATGGTTGGGGTAGGAGGCGGCGCGCCGAGTAAACAGCATGACATACGCCTTGGCGATGTCGTGGTTAGCTCTCCTGGTAATGGGCATCATGGAGTGTACCAATATGACTTTGGTAAATCGGTCCAAGACGAGACCTTCCATCCAACCGGGTTTCTCGATGCGCCCCCAAGATTGTTGCGAAACGCGGTGGCCAACCTCAAGGCGCAATACGAAAAAGATGATTGTCAACTTCGGAATATAATTGATACACTCCTTCAGACTAACCCAGCATCAAGGAAAGAGAGGTTTATACGGCCAGAAACAAGTAGTGATATACTTTATTTTCCACATTTTAAGCACCGTTCAACTCACGGTGACGACTGCAAAGACTCCTGTGGACTTGGTTCTAGAGTTCTTATGAAAAGACAGACAAGGTCGTTCAACGACAGACCTCTTATCCACTATGGCTTAATTGCCTCCGGAAATACTCTGATGAAGGACGCCAAAGTCCGGGACAAACTCGGAGCAGAGAAGGGAGTTCTGTGCTTCGAGATGGAAGCCGCTGGACTAATGAATCAATTTCCTTGCTTGGTCATTCGGGGTATTTGTGACTACTCGGACAGTCACAAGAATAAGGCATGGCAGCCCTATGCTGCTGTGGCGGCTGCTGCGTACACGAAAGATCTGTTGCTTCGCATACCTCCGTTGGAAATCCAAACTGTGCCGAGGGCCAGTGAAGTCTTATCTGGTACGTCTTTCTCAAACCCTAGTTAGACCTCTTCTTGTACTAATTATAGTCTAGAAATCCGTCAAGTGGCACAGGATCACCTCGATATTGCAAAAGAGAATCAAGACAATTCAAAGGAAAGAGAGAAGCAAAAGTGTCACCAAATCTTCCGCTTGACAACGAGTGGTAAGGATTCCACCTACGAGTGGTACAAAGATAGAATAGAAAAGCGAGTCGAAGGAACTTGTTCTTGGTTTCTTCACCATGCCAACTTTGAGAACTGGCAGCAAAAGGAATCCGGCCCTCTACTAGTGTCTGCAGACCCTGGGTGTGGGAAATCTGTGCTGGCGAAGTATCTTGTTGACGAGGTCTTTCCGAGATCAGCAAACGTCTGTTACTTTTTCTTCAAGGACCAAGACCAAAATACCATCCGACAAGCACTTTGCGCTCTCCTCCACCAAATTTTTACTCGAAACCCGGCTTTGATTGAACATGCCCTAGTACCCTTCCGAGAAAACGGCCCGCGCCTGGTAGACAACAAGGCATCGCTGTGGAAAATCTTGCAAGCTGCTGCCCAAGATCCCAGAGCAGGGCCAATAGTACTTGTCTTTGATGCTCTTGACGAGTGCATTGGGTCAGAATTTACGGAGCTGATGGAAATGATAAGCAAGCAGTTACGTGGCGGCAAAGAGAACCAAAGCAAGTTGAAATATCTGCTCACAAGCCGCCCTTATGAGCAGATAGTGACCGAATTCCGCCCCCTCCTAGATCAGTTTCCCTTCATCCATATTCCTGGAGAGGACGAATCTGAAGCCCTCAGTAAGGAGGTGAGCCTTGTAATTTCACATCAAGTCGGTCAACTATCGATAATGAAGGATTTGTCACCCGATATCAGAACAGCATTGGAAAGGAAATTTCAGGAGGTCCCCCATCGAACATACCTATGGGTGTATCTTGTATTTGATGTTCTGAAAAGAATGAAGATAAAGAAGACACCAAAAGCCTTCGAAAGTATCGTTTCTAAACTTCCTCGAAATGTCAATGAAGCATATGAGCAAATTCTCAACAGATCCGAGGACCACGACATGGCTCGGAAAGCTCTAGCTGTTATATTGGTTGCAAAGCGGCCGTTGACCGTCTCGGAAATGAACTTCGCCATAAATATACACCGCGAATCGACTTCCCTTAGCAGCCTTGACTTGGAGACTGACGAGGATTTCAGATCAACTATCAGAAGTTTGTGTGGCCTGTTTGTCTCAATCCATCACGATAAGATCTACTTCCTCCATCAAACGGCACGTGAGTTTCTGTTAAGAGAACCATCCCGAGATACTTTATCAACAATGCAATGGCATCGCTCTATTTCTTATGAATACGCACATGGTATTCTTGCAAAGCTCTGTGTGCGCTATTTGAACTTTTTCAACTGCATAGATGATTCAGGGGTAGATGTGAAGCAGAAAGGCGCCCAGCCTTTCCTAGATTACGCGGCCAACTTTTGGGCTTACCACTTTCGCATAGCTGAGAATGCTTTAGATGGTGAATTCTTGCCGCTCGTGCAGGGGATTCTTCCGAACAGCAATGCCTATCAGTCATGGTTCAGGATCTTCCACAAAGAAAACTTTTCAAGGGACCCGAAGTTTACAGGTCTTACTATGGCATCATTTTTCGGGCATATCACGGTCGTTATGCTTTTGATTGATAAAGGTGCTGACCTTGAGTCAAAAAGTCGATCTGGTCAGACGCCGCTCTTATGGGCGGCAGAAAAAGGCCATGAGGCTGTTGTCAAGCTTTTAGCTGATAAAGGTGCTGACCTTGAGTCAAAAAGTCGATCTGGTCGGACGCCGCTCTCATGGGCGGTAGAGGAAGGCCATGAGGCTGTTGTCAAGCTTTTGATTGATAAAGGTGCTGACCTTGAGTCAAAAAGTCGATCTGGTCGGACGCCGCTCTCATGGGCGGCAGAGGAAGGCCATTACGCTGTTTGATTGATAAAGGTGCTGACTTTGAGGCCAAGAATAAATCCAATCGGACACCACTATGGCTAGCGGCAAGTTATGGCCGTAAAACCATTGTCGCGCAATTGCTCAAAAAGCGTTGCCATGTGGATGTGGAAGATAGGAAGGGGATAACACCGCTAGTAGGTGCTGCGAGAAGACGCTTCTGGGAAACCGTGGACTTGCTCCTTGAAGCAGGTGCTGGAGCTGATGATGGGGGAAGCTCGCTCTGGATGGCGTCGGTTACTGGGCTTTATGATCTCGAACGGCGCCTCAACCAGGGGCCGAATGCGGAACTACAGGACTTGTTTGGCATTGAGGCGCTGTTTTCGCGAAACGGCCTCTAGAAAGCTAGAGATGGAATTCCACCCAAAATTTGGCCGTGAGCTTTACATGTGTTGTAACAGAGTCAGTAGTTGGACAGGCAAAACAAGTTATCAGCCCGCGTAATCTCGAAGATCTTCACTCTTGTAGGCTGAGAAGGTATGAGAGGCTCCGGTACGGTCTACCCTGCGGCTAGCGAAAGTTCATGTTGAAGAAGAAGATGGTTAGACTTTTGTTAATGTTTCTTCTTTTCTTGTCTGGTGCATTTTCTTAAACTTGACGCTTCTAATCAATCACTATTGGCTATGAATAAAATGAGCATCCATGGCCACGCGCACCGTAGAAATACATGCCCACTAAGTCGGTGTGTTAAAAGAGCGAGCTCATCATCATCATCATCAAGCCTGCCCCTCGAAGGACAGGAAATTTATGGATTGGTGAAGATTGAATTGCACAAGGTCAAGAGTAGACCCGATGAACGATCAACAAACCATTTTCTTCTGTTTGGTTCTACAGAACGGCGTTGCTACAGAGGTGGAATTTAGCTGGTTCACATGGCTTTCTACACGAAGATGGATTTTGCTCTCCAAGACACTTGACCACGTGAGACAGTCAATTAGCCGCTACAACGGGTGTGGAGCTTGTTTGGATGATGATTCATGCCTGTCGGGCTTCAGGGTGAAGACAGAGTTTGCGCTCCAGGACCTTTTATTATTTGGCGAGGGATGGGCCATGCAGCGTTCGGGCGTTGGATCTGCCCGAGGGGCTGCCTCGACATTGCAAAGAGTCCGAACCGCGAGCTAAACGAAGGGCCAGAGCATAAGCTAGGCAGCTCAAGCCCGAAATGACCACGTGCAGAAACCCTGTAGGGAGTAGCCTGGAGCACGATGAGTCAAACTAGCCCTTGATAGCCACCACCCCGACCAACACTACCCGGCCGAAGCAGTGTGACTATGCACCGCTAGCTGCTGGCCTGTTTTGCTTATTGTTCACAGAGTTTTCTCTCTATCGACTCTAGGCTCTCCCCCCTAACCCAACCAGGACCCCTTGATATTAGTCGTAATCTGGGCCCACCGGCCACCATTCCAGTCCCCTTCTCGAGGGCCCCCGGCCGTAATCTCATGCACGTCGTACTACTCTCGTTCGGGAGGATTTGATTTCAAACCAGACTCGCTGCCAGGTGCTCGGGGCCGTCAGTGGAGATGTGTCGGGTGATCTACTACCCGCAAGCCATCTGGTTCGGAGCCCCTCGGACGGTGTGCCCTTTGTCGCAGCTCGTATGCGTCGTCTTGGGGCCACGTCGATTGGCTGCGTCGTCCGGCATCTTTTGCCGATTGTTCGACGTCCAGGTGGGATGGATAGAAATGTCCGATCTGGCTGGGCTAGATCAAAGTCCGGCCCTAAAATCCGCCCATTGGTGCATGCAACGAAGTAGATGGCTTGCTTCATAAAGACGTTGCGTCCGTCCAGGCCAAAACTGTAATCTCGAGATCTGCATCTCTGTCGCAAACCTGCAAACGGTCACAACAGTCGCCTAATCCTAGCTTACTGACTGCCTCAGCAATTGAACTACCAAGACCCAGCATAACGCAACAACCACCTCTCTTTAATACTACATACATTGTGGCTTGGGCAAAAGAAGCAGCCCGCCATGCTCTTCCGGAAGGAGAAAAAGGCAGAGCCTCCTGCCGCCGTCACGGCGCAAAATGAGGTCATCGACGACGAAGCCGCCAACGACATGATGCCGACCCTCACGGCCACATCGACAGTGCCGCAGCACGAGTACCCCAAAGGCTTCCAGCTGGGGCTCCTGCTGGCCTCCGTCTTCCTGACCATGTTCCTCGTCGCCCTCGACCGGTTGATCATCGCCACGGCCATCCCCGAGATCACCAACGAGTTCAACTCGCTCCCCGACGTGGGATGGTACGGCTCTGCCTACCTGCTCACCACCTGCAGTTTCCAGCTGCTGTTTGGAAAGCTGTACACCTTCTTCGCCGTCAAGGGCGTGTGGCTTATTTCCATCTTCATCTTCGAGGTCGGCTCTGCCATTTGCGGTGCTGCGCCCAACTCGACTGCCTTTATTATTGGACGTGCGATTCAGGGTATTGGTGGTGCGGGCATCTTCTCCGGTGCAATTGGTAAGATATTTCCCCTCTTCTTCCTCTTAGTCGATGCGCATCTAACATTCTCTGCAGTCGTCATCGTATACGCCGTGCCTCTTGAGAAGCGACCCATGTTCCAGGGCCTCTTCGGCGCCATCTTCGGTCTGGCTTCCATCATCGGTCCTCTGGTCGGCGGTGCTTTCACATCGAATGTCACCTGGCGCTGGTGCTTCTACATCAACCTCCCCATCGGCGGTGTCGCTTTCGCCTTCTCTGCGTTCCTCCTCAGGGTTCCCGATCGGGACACAACAAAGCAGCCGCTCAGCAAGAAGCTCGCCCAGCTCGACGGAATCGGTACCGCCGTTCTCATCCCTGGCGTCGTCTGTCTTCTCCTGGCCCTTCAGTGGGGTGGTCTTGAACACCCAGTAAGCTTGCCACGTTTTCCCGCCTTTCGGTTGACATTGCTAATGTATCTTGTAGTGGTCTGATGGCCGAATCATCGCTCTGTTGGTTCTCGCAGGTGTCTTGCTCATTGGCTTCGTCGCCGTCCAGGTGCTCATGCCCAACACTGCAACCATCCCCCCTCACATCTTCAAGCAGCGCAGTATCCTGTCTGGATTCTGGGCTACTATCTGCATCGGATCCCAGATGATGATCTTTGGTATGATTCCTCCTTTTCCTCTCAATGTCGGGTTTACGGCTAACCAAGTGACTCAGTCTACTACCTGCCCATCTGGTTCCAGGCCATCCAAGGCGTCTCTGCCGTGGACTCTGGTATCCGTATCCTGCCCTCAACCCTCTCCATGGTCGTCGCAACCATCTTTTCCGGCGCCCTCATCACCAGAATCGGCTACTACACTCCCTTCATGATCTTCGGAACATGCCTCATGTCCATCGGCTCCGGATTGCTCACAACCCTCCAGGTCGACACCGGCTCCGGCAAGGTAAGCATCACCCCCGTACCCTTCCTACCTATACCTACTGACATCTCTCTCTCTAGTGGATCGGATACCAAGTCCTCTGGGGTCTCGGAATGGGCATGACCTTCCAGGCGCCCAACCTCGCCGCCCAGACCGTCCTCAAGCTCCGCGACGTCCCCATCGGCACCACCCTCATGTTCTTCAGCCAGCTCATGGGCGGCGCCATCTTCATATCCGTCGGCCAGAACGTCCTCAACAACGAGCTCCTCAAGCGCCTCGCCCCGCTGCCCGGCTTCCGGCCCAGCTTCATCTCCCAGGGCGGCGCCACCGCGCTGCGCACCGAGTTCCCGCCCGAGCTGCTCCCCGCCGTGCTGGACGCGTACAACGAGTCGCTGCGGAAGGTGTTCCAGATCGGCATGATCCTCACCGTGCTGACCATCATCGGGTCCGCGACCATGGAGTGGAAGTCGGTGAAGAAGAATGTCAAGAAGCCCGTGGCTGCCGGGGCGGAGGAGCAGCAGACGACGACGGGGGGTGCCAAGTCGGATGGGGAGACGATCGTGGAGGGGTCTGCGGCTCGGTCGGAGAAGGATGTGGATGTGAAGAGTGCGCCTGAGGCTGAGGCTAGTGCCGAGAAGGAGAAGGAGAAGGAGGAGAAGATCTAAGGGGAGGAAAGAGGAACAGCAAAGGGAAACAACATGGCTTGGGGCGTTTGGGATCTGGTTTTTCATCGGCATAGATTCATTGACGCGTAACGAACTCGCGCTCCGGTGGGCTTATGGCATAGCAGGTGCCAAATTTACTTGGAAACTCCTCTCTAGTACATAATAATTAATGAAGAAATTTCTAAAATATGTCACCTTGCCCAGTTTTTGCTGTTCTTGTGCGTAACTTGGCCTGTCTTATTTAACGAACTACCCCGTCTGGCTCTAATTTGGGCACACTGAGTAGACACACGCTCTTCGCCCGAAACCCCTCTCCGGGCTACTTTAGGGAGTAGCCTCGCCCAGTTCTTCGCATATCTCCAGATCTCATGTAAGCGGTGATTGAACTCGACACACGTGATGATAGTAGTTGGGCTCTCCATTAGGCGTAGCGATACTTATGCTTATCTGCCGTCTTGGCTGGACTAGGATCCTTGGCGATAACCTCATGCGGCATATGCAACTCCGTGGGAGCTAATCCAGCCTAGAAGTGATCGTGGGGGGTGGGGCATATTGCCTGGCTTCCTCAATGGCGTGCAGTCCTCGGTGTAGCATAGAGCCTATCTACATCATCAAACCACCCTCGCTAAGTGGCTAGCTTTATATCAAGGCCAAGGCGGATAAGACAGGGAACAGCAACCATGTTCACACCAGCTTCGCGGTCACGCGGTGCTGCCGAGAATGGAAACTTGCAGTCGGGACTGCACTTTGCTTCAGCTGAGGCGCCGTGTTATTGGAAGATGGCGGGGTTGTAACAGTCTTCGACAACAGCATGCAGCCAAAGATGCAGCAGCATGGATTCACACGTCATCTCCAAGAGCTGAGCTGTCAGCTCTCGCCTTTCCATACCACCCTGGGGCGAGAGCTGACAGTTTAGCTCTTGGAGAACTCGCAGAAAAAGCTCTGTCAGAGCAGCTTCTTTTATTGCCATCCATTCCCATATCCTACTGGCGAAAGATCCTCCGCGCAAATACAACCTCATTGCCGGTTGCTTTGCACCCAAGAGACCACCCAATACTCTCGTTGTTCGCCCATCCAGCCATGGGCCTGCGCATACTACCGACATGTGTCATCCTGGCGACGCTTTTCGCGTGCGTCCGGGCAGACGGGCTGGATGACTTCACCAACAATCTATTTAGCGACTTGGGTCCGTAAGTAAGGTAAATGAAGTTGCGCATGAAGTCTAGAAGCTGACCCAAGCTCCCTCTAGAATCCTGGCCTTGTTTGGAGAACGCGTCACGATGCAATTTATGAGTCAGGCTATGGACTGGGTAGATTGCATTGCCCTGGCTATGGCTCCTCTGGGTATTATCACGGTCCTCGTCAGTGCCATTCGAGTAGGCGGGCCACCGTGGCTCAAAGCCGTCATCGGTCGGGCACGAGAGAACACAGCCGCTGCGGAGATGGAGTTGATGTCATCGACATCTGAAGAGGTTTGCGAGCTCTTTAATGGGAACAGTTTCATCCGGTGTCAAGGAACGGCCCCGGTTTGGGAGTACATCTGTATTATTCCCAAGAACGCCAATTCCCGGGAAAAAAGGCCGTTGCAGTTCATGACTCTTGACGATGCAGTCGACGAGGGCCTTTTATCAACGCATAAAGGAGGCACAAAACTACATTTGCCCCGTAACCCCAAACCCAACCGGCCAAAAATCGCACGAGGTGACGTTGGCGAGTCCACTTCCATGCCCAACACTGGCAATGCAACGAATGGTAATTGGAGTGGCGCAAAACACTGGTTCAACCCTGGTAAGTCGCTTTATTGCATTTGTCTCATTGAGCTGTGTTCTAACATGAATTGATACTTGGCCAAAGTAGGGATCCTTCGACGACGAGGAGCGAGAGATGCCGGAGATGTGGAGAGCCAAACAGATGTCCGCTCGGACGATTCGCCAGACTGCCAAACCGAGACAACGAAAGAATGCATCACAGTTATCCGACAAATCACTGACAACGCACCTAATATAACCCTCAATCTGCAAAAAGCCAATCTCCAAGAGACCAATCTGCAAAAGACCGTTGGCCGGACGTGGATCAACTACGTTGCAGGGCTCGGCGGATTGCTTCAAGTAGGAGTCCTGGCCTTTTTCGGCGTTATTAGCTACGACCCCAGGCTTCAGACTGACTTTCAGAAAGACGGCAAACCAGCCGCGTCTTATGGCTTTCCTCTAGCAGCAGGCGGCACGGTCTTATTGGTGACTGGAATGTTTCTCTGTGCTTTAGTCGTCGAAAGTAGCACTGACGAGACGATTTATAAAGCCAAGGAGGACCATGAGATCCGCGTGTACTGGCTTCAGCAGAGCCAAACCGTCAGTGATCAAGTCTTTGAATCCTTTGCTGTGTTTCCAAAGCAAGACCTCCATCTTACGAGCATCATCAAGTCAACTCGGCATCCAGATCTTCGCAACGCCTCTGAAGGCGGCGACGGGCTTACGGGCTTACAAAGGATGACGATTTTCAGTGTTCCCATAGGTTTGCTTGGCTTCATCATCCAATTCACCGGTCTCAGAGCCATGAACTCGGCTGCATCACTCACACAGCTGGCTGCCGTCGCCATCATGACCGGATGTCGAGCATTCGCCCGACCTGGATTCTCAAGTAGTTTTGAGAGACAAAAGCTCCTCTCCGGATACGAACTGGACTGGCTAGCCTGGAAGCTGGTGACGGAGAAGGAAAATGCTCCAGCTGGTCAACAAAATGGACAACCGAAACCCAATGAAAAGCCAAAACCCGATGAACAACCAAAACCTAATGAACAACCAAGTCCCAATGAACAGCTAAACCCCAATGAAAAGCCAAAACCCGATGAACAACCAAAACCAAATGAACAGCCAAAACCTGATGAACAGCCAAAACCTAATGAACAGCCAAAACCTGATGAACAGCCAGAACCTGATGAACAGCCAAAACCCGACAAGCCAATTGCTCGATCTTGGGCTGTTCTCACTGGCGAAATGGTCAAGTACAAGCCCCTGGAGCCACTCACCAAAGAGAGGGAAGAGATGGAAGCACACGAGGTGCTGGTTGCACGTCGGGAGCTTTGCAAACTCGCCAAATTCCAGGGTCAGACGTCGACAGAAGCCATCAATCTCGCCATGGCAATTGAGGCAGCGCTCCACACTCTATTTCCAGACGGCCCTCCCATATCGGCTGCTGGGGAGTCATCCCACTCAGACACATCACACAACCAGCAGGGCAAGGGCTTTCGATGGCTGGTCAACGTCACGCACAGCAACTCAGTTTTGACCAATGGTACGGAGCAAGAAACTCAAGGAGAAGTGGGGTTTGATCTGAATTACACTGATAATTCCTGGCACGTGCTGGCAGACAGCCTTGATGCAGCACTGTCACTGTGGGTTTACACAATTCGAGAACGAGAGAAGCAGCAGTCAGACAGAATTAAGGATGAAAATACCAACTGCGTGGGCAGAGAGAATGACGAGTGGCTCCGTCGCAAAGTGCCACAGCCATGCTTGAGATTAATTGACCCGGGCGAGAAGCTCAAAGCACAACTTCTCCAAGACCTGGAATGGTGGGCCCCGCAAAGCACCGAACATCTATTAGAGGTTGAAGAAGACGCAGACTCGAAAGATGCGGACTCGAAAGATGCAGACTCGAAAGATGCAGACTCGAAAGATGCAGACTCGAAAGATGCAGACTCGACGGATGGGGAGACTGAGGCCACGAACTCCAAAGACTTTGACGCGACCAGAGCGGTTGGTTGTAGTCCTTCCTCAACCAGCAACACCAAACCTCAGAAACGTAGCTTCCGGACCTTTCCTCCAAGCATGGAAAGTAACAAAAGAACCCTTGCAATAGAGTCACGGGACTCGTTGGAACACCTCTACGCCAAGGACCTCCTCTTCTCCTTCATATGCTCAGCTGCACAGACACCTGGTGCATCTGTCAAGGGCGGAGCTGAGTTACGAACAGCCGCTGCTAGCAATCGAGCCCCCAAAATCCTTTGGCATAGAGAGCTGGCGAGACTGGCCGACTCCTTCCATTCGAGCAGTTTTGGAACTGATCAGGAAGCCCTGATGAGCATCATCGCACCTCTCAGCATGGGTGGGATCCTGCCGTTTCCACACGCCTTGCTCGAATCAATGCGCAATGAAGTTACAGAATATTGGCAATCGGGAAATGAACATGATGCCTGGAACGTCTACGGTGACCTTATAACGCAGATGGGGCGCTATGCATCGGGGAATAGCGGCCTTTACGAGTCCATGTTAGCATTTGTCTTGGAAGTGCAGAATGACGCCACGTACCAAGTTCGTTCTCTAATGACACACGACAAAACAGTGTATCATCACTTGGCCAATTTCGAGTTCCGGCTCAAGATGCGCATCAGGGCGAGCCTTAAAAAGTGGAAAGTGAAACCCGAATTCTTCTACGAATTTAAAAAGCTCCTCAAGAAGTCAGGAACGGAGCTAATTGTTGATCTATCACGACTGCCTTGCAATGATCAGAGAGGCGAGAATTCAAATGCAGATGATGACTTTAATACATTTCCGCCATATTTCAACCTCGCTCCATCACACATTCTTGCATTGGAGGGTTCATTCGCTAAGGAGCAGGCCGACAAGAGAGACTTTTGCGGGCGGACTCCGCTCCATTATGCCGCAATGAAGGATGAAAACCACGGCGCTCTTAGGTTGTACTTTGCGGCAAGGCACAAAGATTTCGACATCAACGTCAAGGATCACCGCGGATATACCCCATTACACTATGCGTGTGCGCTTGGTAGATATGAGAACGTGACTGTCTTGCTGGATTTTCATGCGAAGCTTGACAATCAAGGCATTGATGGCATGTATCCCATGCATCTAGCAGCTCGCAAGGGACATGTGAAAGTAATCGAAAGAATTCTACACACAGACGTACAACGGAGATTGACAGACCCACAACGGAGAAGGACAGACTACAACGGTTTTTTGCCAATACATTGGGGTGCGAGCAATGGCTACGTGGAGATCGTACGGCAGCTAGATGCAGACATTAATGTGGCCAGTGCAGAAAACGACACGCCGCTTCATCTAGCCGTGTTGTGCGGCAAGGTAGACGTTGTCGAGGCGCTTCTCGAACTTCCTGTGGATAAGGAAAAGACGAACAATGACGGCGAAACAGCATTACTGTTGGCCCTTGACACGGGCAAGTTGGAATTTGCTAAGCGGCTGATCGAGAAGGGCGCGAACCCCAATCACGTCGGTCAGTTCGGTAACACTCCGCTCCACAGTCTGATTAGACCACGTTACGTGGGCCACAATAAGAATGTTTCAATGCTGCTCGGGGTAGCTAAAGCTTTGGTAAAGGAGGGTGCAGACCCTTGGGCTAAGAACAAGAAGGACCGGACACCTACTGATCTTGCCAAGGAGTTGAGTTTGTCCAAGCTCCAGGGTTATCTATTAAACCTCCCTCGAAAGCCGCCTCGGCCCGGATCAGTTCGACGCAGCATGTGAAAACAATAATAGAGGATGCCAGACCCGACATCTTAACACAATGAATATCGACGCAGCATATAACTTGCTAGAACTATAAGTCATAATGATGAATGATTTCTATTACGCTATTTATACTAGCTAGGGTATATCTATTTAGATAGCTCTTATTACTATATATTCAAGTCTAAGTTTAAATTAAAGATCTTAAAGGTATATAGTAATTAAGGTATTTCCCTTTTAATCTTAGCTAATTATATCTACTAGTTATCTAGGTGCTTAACTATTATACTACTAGAATATAAGTTATATTGAGAGCCGGCTGGATAGCATACTCTTAGACAGCCGCAGCCGCGGCCCTGACCTCTCTGTCTCTCTCGCGGACAGCCAGTTGCTGTGGCTTCGACTCTCTTGTCTGGTGGATGGATTAGCTGCTTAGTAAGGGATAGTTAGGTTATAAAAGGAACAGCTGTGCCTTCCGCGGGGAAAAGGCGTGCTTTATCTTTTATTTATTATTATTTCTTGAAATATAGGCTTTATTTCACTTGATTAACTACGGGATTGCCCACACAACACACCACAAGCCCTCTTTTCTTCTCTTGTCTTGCTGTTGGATATCCTAGCCAACCTAGCCACGGCTGCTATCTTTACTTAGGACCGTAGCTTCCGTAGCTACGGGCCGGAGGGAATTTCCACCGGCACTTAATATACGTCTAGTAGTTGCTCTTCTTCTAGTCATTGTGTTGAGATGTCGGGTCTGGCATCTTTCATTGCTTTTTTCACTTTGTACTCAAAACTTTCATTCGTAGTTGCTTTTCATGGGGACCAGACGAGATGTAGAGCTCAATCAGGTTTGCTAGCAATATACGCAAAGGAACCCGAACTGGGGATTTGACATGCCCGACGTATATTTTGATCGCGTTGCTCTATCGTCAAGAAAGGAGATTCTGTGTAAGAAAGAAAACAAGACGTGTAGTAGAATGGAAGAGGCAAAAGGATGAAGCAGAAAGGCGGTAGTTGCAACAGGACAAAGAGGTGGTGATAGACGATTCGAAGTCAGAGTCGTATCTCCACCTAGATATACAGTAGGTAGGGGGGTCGGCAGAATTAGACCTCCCAAGTATCAGGGCCTACGTAGCTCAGACGCCTGGGCGGTCTCGGATAAGATCTCATCCAGATTTGATGGGGCCCACTGTGAAAATTGACTCGGAACTTGCTTCTGGATATGAAAACGGCATCACAACAATCCATTGCCTAAGAGCCTGGTGTGCCGGGGTGGATATATTATCTGATGCCTGTGCGGGTAATTTCCAAAAATATTCAAGGTCAATTTTGATGTACCAAATCCATTAACAATTAATTGCCATGCCTTCACGACCTCGCACTCGTCAGCGACAGGCCTCCGTAGATCGGCCCAGGCACAGGGTAAGTGAATTTCTGCGATGGTACATTGTCCCCGCAGAATGACGTGATGCATGAAAAGTCTACGCGGTCATCAGTGATAATTGGATATTCTGCTGCTCTCCCAGAGGATCAATGCGCTTCTCGATTCCAACCGTAGCAAAATATCACCTCTTATTCAAGGGCTTGAAGCAGGATCTGCACAGAGCTGGATGGCTGATCAAGGCCTGCGGAAAATGTTCCGGCGAACAAGGATCCTCATAGATCCTGGGGAGTTAAAACTTTGCGACCCAATAAGATTGGCAATGCATAATCTTTTGATGGTCCTTTGCCCCATGTAACTTAGCTTGGGCGGAAAGGGTCCAACTGCACCGGAAGTCTCCCAAGATAAATACAGACCTGTTCCGAGGTTATTTATTCCCGAGCTCCCCCTTCTTGCCTCCAGACACTGAGAAATGCTGGCTGGAGAGTAGCAGCCATGTCTGCTGCCGACCGCTCGACCGAAGAAAAGGTCGGATCGCCTGACGATCTGATCCGGACAGCCTCCGGATCCGGAAAAGGTACCTCGGAGACGAGTGTCTCACCAGAGAAACAGGACGACCAGGACCAAACCGTCATTCTGTCCAAATATGAGACCAGTTGGGTGCACAGATTGCTCACGCCGCCGAATTGTCGATGGGATCCCAGTGTGCCTCATGAATTGACATATTCACTCTGTATCCTGTATGCGACGGTACGTGCATTTCCAATGCGTAACCTCAACTTCTCATCCTTCTCAGAACTGACCGGGATTACAGGCTGCCAGTTTTACGGTTGCCAATCTCTACTATAATCAATCTATTCTGAATAAGATCGCTGAAACCTTTGGCGTGAGCTATGAGACCTCGTCCCAAGTCCCTACGCTGATGCAGGCTGGTTATGCCTCTGGTCTCATTTTCGTGCTTCCACTGGGAGACATTCTGGAGCGGCGGTTTTTCATCATCGGCCTGGTCTCTTTCACGGCAATCATGGTAAGTTGAAAGCCTCCAGACTCTTGAATTGCATATTTGGACACGATATTGACTGGCTGGTAGTGGATTGGCCTCTGTGTTACGAATAATTTCACTGCCTTCAGAGCCATTTCGTTCATCTGCGGCATGACGACCGTGACGCCACAGCTCATGGTGCCTCTCGTTGGCGACTACGCCCCCCCGAACCGCAAGGCAACGTCGTTGTCAATTGTCTCGTCTGGACTCATGCTTGGTATCCTCATCGCCCGGCTCCTGGCTGGAGTGGTTGCCAATTACACTGCCTGGCGCAACATCTACTGGCTAGGATGCGCAATACAGTTCCTCCTGGCAATCCTCCTCTTTGCCTTCTTCCCAGACTACCCTTCCACCAACCCGGACGGTCTCAACTACTTCAAAGCTCTGTGGACAGTCATTCACATGATGTTGACTGAGCCGCTGCTAATTCAATCCGGCCTGATGGCTTTCTGCATCTCCGGTGTCTTCACATCGTTCTGGACCACGTTGACTTTTCTACTCGCCTCACCCCCATTTGAGTATTCATCTCTCCAGATCGGGCTCTTCTCCCTACTCATTCTGGTAATTGTCATTGTCATTCCAGCTCTGGGTCCCTTCATGGACCGCTATGAGCCACTTCTACCCCTCCTGTGCTGTGGAGCCATCACCATGATCGGCGTCATCATTGGCACCTTCACAGGCACGTTCTCAATAGCCGGCCCCATCATCCAGGCCATTTGCATCGATATCGGTCATCAAATGGGCGCCATCGTCAACAGAACGGCCATATTTACCATCAACCCCAAAGCACGGAACCGACTCAACACGGCGTATATGGCCTGCGCGTTTGCTGGGCAACTGACCGGATCAGCTGTTGGTAACAGACTGTATGCACAAGGTGGTTGGAGGTACAGCGGATACTGCAGCAGTAAGTTCTCCCACTCTTTAAAACAATTAGTTCTCGTTGTGCTAATTTTGTTTCAGTTGGCCTGGTGACTGCTATGATCTTGTTTGCCTTGGCCAGGGGACCACATGAGACTGGATGGGTTGGCTGGTCTGGAGGTTGGGAGCTTCGAAAAGTACGTCCGTCGAAGGTGGAGCAGAGAAGTGATGGTGAGCAAACGGCATAAGAGTGTGATAGACCATAATAGAATATACAGTGTTTCAATTATTATTTAAATACGTGCCATTTTTCCTGGATGGGATGAACGTCTTGCCTCCCGTGTATGCATCAGTCTCTGTGTTCAGGTTGAAAAGTAGCCAAGTGTCTCATTCTTATATAGTTTGTCATGCTAGATGAACGGCAAATTCTTAATCCAATTTATCAACCCAATATATCAACCCAATATATCAATCCAATTTATCAATCCAATTTATCAATCCAATTTATCAATCCAAGAATCTTCTGCCTGTCTTCTTCAGAACTTTCCGTCCGGTGATTCGCTTCCGAGGAAAGATGGGTTTCCTAGGCTCTTCTCCTTTCTTGCTCGCCCCCTTTATCGCTTGTTGTACATGAGTTTCTGTTCTCGACCCCCGACTCAGTCTAAAAACACCCACTCATCCTCGGGTTCATAGTCCACAATGACTACTCCATCCATATCGTCCATGTGAGTGTTGCCCCATCCATGCTTGGCCATTCCGTTTGTGTTAGGTAGTTCCAATTCGGTCTCAATCGCGATCGCAAGGTCGTCAATGATCTGCTTTCGGATGCACATGTTGATTTTCCCGAATCGAATGGGCTCTTTCGCGATGACGAATTCGTCGTAGTAGTCACCAAGTCTGCAAGTGCGTGATCCCCTCCTCTGTCGCTTCTTATGCGTAGATACAGTCTGGCCCCAGATCATCGCGGCCGGCTTCGCAAAGTCGGAAACCACCTGCTTGAGGGCAATAGATGGATTGAAGCAAACCACAAGAGTCTTGCTGTCAATTTCGGCCAGGGCGCGCGCACCAGATCCCTCGATGACCTTCATTTTTTCGTTGATCCAAAGGATCTTCTTGTCGTTTTCCGTGTACTCAGGATCCGAAACCATGAGAGGAATGCGCCTTTTAAGACGGCTGCTTAGTGTTTTGGTCAAGGTGGCAGCGAACATATGCTGAGTGATGTTTCGGTAGTTGGCTTGACCATCACCAGGTTTCTTGGCAGACGAGAGATCGCCACCGAGAGGACCGAGTCCAAGACATAGCACCTTCGAAATCTCTGGCATCTTCGGGCCAAGAGTTTTCAGAGCTTGGAGAAGCGCTTTGTGAACGGGGCTTTTGCCCCAGCTTAACCAGCCGCGGTTCCAAGCAGCTTCAAGTTCTCTGAGATCGTGTTTCTTAGCATCTCTAAGTACTGTCGAAATCGTGATTGGACATGTGATGGTCGTCCTTTGTTCTTCGGTGAAGTGGTACACTTCGTCTTTGAGGAAGCCACTGGTGAAAGCCGTCCTAGCCCTCTCGGTCATTTCGTTGATGTCAAGCATTTTGACCTTGCTATTGCTTTATTAGCATGAAGATAGACAGTAGTGTGCGGGGCGGATGGATCGAAGATATTAGTCCGGTATTCTCAAGTAAGCATTTACTTACATGTTGTATTCCATAGAAGGACGGACTGCGGTCAAGAAACCGCCATTCACTTGAAAACAAAAATGAACTTGTTAATTTGCTCTTTGAAGCGGCTCATCATTAGAGGAGGAGAAAACTTACTGCATGAGATTTTGATCAACTGGCTAGGTTCAGTCGAGCTCAGATCCTCCTCCAGTTTGAGGAGCATGTCTCTCGTGTAGATTCCAGCGTTGGATTTGTATACATCTTTGACATACTTCGCCAGCCGGAGACCCTTCATCATGGGCATGAGACTGTCCCCCATGGGGTTGCTCGGTTCTATACCCGGATACATGGTCTCGTTGCAGCGGAGCAATGATAGCCAACCTGACTTGCCAAAAGGAAACAAGGGCTCTTTGTGAAAGGTTGCTCTTGATAGTAGAAGCAGATGCGTGAGCGATCTTTTGGAGATGAGAAGGTCCAAGTTGTAGCGGTTGGAGATTTGAAAAGAGTAGAGGACTGATAGAAAGAAGAGGTTGGAAAAAGAAAGGGGGAAAGGGTTGAGAGAAGAAGTAGGGCTGAGATGGAAGAGGAGGCACGGTAGACTTCTGTGCAACCACCAACATACTATGTCGGTATGTGCGACGCAAGTGGCTCACTTCGAGTTCAGAAAACACGAGCTGTTTCCCGCGCGCCATCAAGAGAAAGGAGTAGTGACGGGTTAAATTGATGTACTTTTTTTTTAAAAACTATCATTTTATGGTTTTATTCGCTGGGTACGTCTCCATTTGCTACTCAATATGTAAATTAGAAACAAAGATTGATTTCAAACTGATGCGAAGGTAGACTACCCGTTCGATTTTTCAGCGCCCTGAGTTTCCAGGAGGTTCAGTTGTTTGTCAAACAGACGGCAACTAACTTCCAGAAACAGATAGCCTAAGCTCGGGTTGTTGACAAAGGAGGAACAGATACAGTACAAACGAGAACCGAGTTAGTATTGTAGCACAAGGTGTGCTGGCTGTTAAAATTCATCTAATAGAAAGCTGAGAATAAAGTACAAATATTAAATTTTGAATATTTGATTTTATTGTCCTACTGATCCGAACTCATAGCTGGCTAAAATATCTCGTTGCTTCGATATTTGGTATAACTGACAATGTTGTTTTTGGAAACTTTAGAGGTCCCTAACTTGGTTTGTGAAGTAACAGGTGAGCCAAAGTGAAGTTGACTTTTGTTTTTCAAGGCGCAAATCTGCTCCTGATTTTCAACTACGTTCTCCCACTACACTTATCAAGAAGCAAGGCCCTCACCTGGCTTAGGGAGGTGGAAACTATGTGACCACAAAGAAAAGAATGAAACGACAGAAAAGAGACAAAGGAAGTTAGGAAGACTGAGAAGCTTTCTAGTTTATTATAATATGAAAAGAAAAACCCCATAGCTTGAGAGCTGGTTTCTTGTGCAGGGCGGTAGAGAATTAAGCCGGATGCGCATGCCCGTCTGATACCAGTGGCTGGTACCGGGAGTCTAAATTTAGAATTAATTTCGGGGTCTATGACTCGATTATCGCGCTTGATTTTCTTCTCGAAGCATCGGTGTGAAAACACATCTAGGATGGGTTGTACAACGCGAGAGGCCCAATCTCCACAACGCACAATGATTCATGTTACTAGGTAACGAGAACAACTAGCACATCCCTTCGCGTTTCACAAAATAAATAGATAGATGAATGATGTAAAAGAAACAAACCACTTCAGTTTGACTACTCTCTTCTAAACCTTCAACTCGGCCTCAAAAACGTGTAACGCCTATGAGGGTTTAAAGTCTTTCCACAACGACAAGTGTCAATTTACAGGCCACGATTGGTTCAGTCATGAGGCGTATTGGGATGCCTAGAGGACCCTGTTCATAGGGCAGCTAATCATTGCCTGTTGCTTAACGGTGTCCTGCATCAAATAACTAAGAGCTCGCGCTGCCGGACGGTGCTTCAGCAAATCTAGAAATGAATGATGGGTCTATGCATGTATATTTCATATGTGTAGAGTGAAAGGCCTGGAAGCTGTGCGGGACGTGGTGAAGGGTGGAAAAAGCTGACGAGCTCGGTCAACTGTCTATGCAAAAGATCAGATATCAATTAGCTTAGGCAGCACTTGATATGTGTGAGAGCTACTGGCTAGCCAAGCTTGTGCACTCGTCAAAAATCTCACGGCAACTTGGCTGTGGCTTGTACTTGACCGGATCAAACGTGATTTTATCAGTTGTAGCGATGTCTCTCATAAGAATTGATTTTTTTATGTTTTATAAATTCAATCATGAAGAGCTTTTCTTCAAGGAAAGAAACTCTTGTATTATTCGAGTCTATGGAATTGTGCCAAAGAACTAACATTGGCCATTAGATGTTTGTTGTTTTACGTTTAAGTCTCTTGTACTTTTCTGTTCCTATCCCCGTTGAGGGGGGCTTCTCGAGTGCTAGATGCCAACCCCTTCTTACTGCCGCCATGTGAATATGTCCTCATGGGTATTGTCGACTAATAAATTTAACGAGTTTGTCCGCTTACAGGGCCATGGCGGCAGCAACGGCGGCGAGACCCATGACGCCATATCGCTGGGCATCCATGGTGGGAGCGGCAGCCCTGCTGGTGGGGGTGGCGGCAGCGGTGGCCCCAGAAGAAGCTGCTGAGGCGACAGATGAGGCAGCAGCGGTGGCTCTAGAAACGGCAGATGAAACAGCAGAGGCAGCGGAAGAAGCGGCAGCAGTAGCCCTAGACACGGCTGAGGAGGCGGCGGAGCCACTGGGGGTTAAGGCACGGCTGCTGCCGGCAGGGCTGCTGTTTACTGCTTGAGAAGAGGCAGAGCCGGAACCAGAGGCACGGGAGGTGTTACTGCCGGTGACGGATGCGCTTGCAGTGGCCGATGCGCTGCCAGTGACTGATGCACTGCCAGTGGCCGATGCACCGCCAGTGACTGACGCGCCACCAGCTCGGGTGGTGCTGATGATGCCGTTTGGAGCACTGGGGTTCGGTTAGAATCGTCTCTGTCTTCTTGGTGTACTACGACATCCCCCATGAGAAGCAGAGCTAAGAACAGCTCCTCAGGACGTGTTGCGTATGGACGTACCTAGACTGGGCAACAACGGGAGCCACGACCAAGGCGGCGACGGTGAGGAGAGCAGTGACCTTCATTTTAACGATAGTTTATAAGTCGGTGAGACAGATCAACTCGAAATGGACTGCGGGAAAAGAATAGGGACTGAGGGCGTAGACTACGGTATCGAGCAGAGCGGAGGGGGCCATTTATACCTTGAACTCGGAGCCTGAACAAAACAAGCAAGGTCGGTGAGCAAACTCAAAGCCGGACTCTAGGCCTCGATGTCGACGATCAACAAACAATAAAACAGCTGGATAACGCAAGCGCTATTCCCAAGTGGCGTCGTCCGAGAGCCACACACCCTGTCGTCCAGCAGCAGTTTCTCGATGCTCGATATGCTCACGCTATGGGCGGGTTCGGCCTGACTGAGATCCACCGAACGAGAGCTACATCTGGTAGCCGCAGCAGCGATGGAAAGCCACTGGCTGAAAAGATGGAATGTGGGGTGAAATGTATGATCGGAAGCTATTCTTTGGACCTGGGACGCATGCGTGGTAGCCTTACGCTGATTGATCCGATGCGGCAACCGTGTGGGAGAAGTGCCTGTCTTCTACAGATCTAAGCTTCAGATTTGCATTGCACCAAAAGCGACGGACAAACTCAATTAGCTTCTCCGACCTGCCATTCCTTTCTCCTCTCCTCGCTTCAAGCTCAGAAACTTCTCGCAACAAAAACCCCGCCACCTTTCCAGCCGGTATGTGGCGGCTGGCCAGGACAAGTCTGAGACAGGAGAGGCCAAGGCGATGGTCTCAGCGGGCAGCCGTCTTTTCCGCTTCGTATTGGCCACATCCCGTGTGTCTCTGGCGGTACGAGGTGAAGCGAGACACCTAGCTGCCGAGCTACTCACCTCCATAGCTATGATAGCTTGCCTCGAGCACTGCTGGTCAGTTGTTCTTGTTGACGTGATACGCTTCTGCCAATGGTACCAAGCCACGGGCCGTACTTTCTTCTTCCCACCAATCGACTTTAGCCTTGTTCGGCTCTACGGCACCGCTTAGACAGGTCTCGAAGGGGCTGAAAGTGTGTTCTGGATCTTCTGTCTCAGCTCTGCTGTGTCCTCCATTTCAAGCTCTGGCCCCTCGATCGATACGCGAGGGCAAGGACCATTTACCCCGGATTGGGCGTTTGGGGATGACTCCTACCGCATTAAGCTCCCCGTGAACACGTTCTTTGTCCCCAAAAGAATAACGGCAAGATGGATTGGCCCGTCGATCGAGTCCAGCCTCCCCCCCCCCTGCCACCAACATTCCAGCGTAGCTGATCGCGGGCATTATTGCGACATCGCTAGCGCCTTCGTAGCTGAAGGAAGAAAAGGCAAAAAAAGGTTTACTGGTTGCAGAGCATAACCAGAAGAGGAATCGGGGCCAATGCCAAATGCACGCTTTAAGCTGCTGCCGAAATTCCATTAGCAAACTTACCGCATCATCAGGCAAATTTCTACAGAAGAAAAAAACTTGAATTCAGGTCCGATTCCAGCTGAAGCTATGTCATGAACCAGGATGTACCAGACTAGCCAGAACTCCGGTGAATTGGCCTCGTCGATCCAAGCTACTACAGCACCCGTCCGACGCGGGGAACACATGGATGGCTGGCTGGATGGCGTCTGCCGCAGTAAGCAAGCTATAGGATCCTTCCGCCAATAGTCAGGAGGCCACCGAACTACTAGTAGCAGCCGTATGGGGTCATGGAGGCCGCCGTGCTGCGCTTGTAGGTGGCGATGCATTGTCGTTGGACAATGATGCCGTAAAATCCACGGACAATGATATCAATTGATCATCTGGTCATCAGCAAGGATCATCAAATATGTCGATCGGCGGATATGGCACCGATCACGGCTGGATTCCAACACTCCGGATCTAAAGACGGGGTCGAGTTTGCTGATTTCCCTTTTTCACAGTTGGACTTGGTCGGTGCATTATGGTCTCGGACAATGTGGATGGAATGTCATCAGCCACTGCCTAACCAGCGGGCCTCGACCTCTCCGGATGATGTTATTCCCCATGAGGTAGGTTAGGGTGGTATTTCTAGTTTTGCGTTTGGGTAGAAACTATCTTTTCCGAGGCGATTATACCAGCCACCCCCAGCGTTCATCTAGACCGGCCAACAAATCCGAGATTCTATGCATAACTTCTAGCTTATCTATTGCAGCATTGAATGGAAATCAATAGTCTGTCGAGAAGTGTTGGAAATTGTGATACAAGGAGCATTGTCCGAAGGCCTACTCATCCCCAAGCCGATGGGCAAAGGTGCAATATCGTCTATTCCTTGCAAGCAGCTCAGCCACCAATCCCCTCTCGGAATTAGTGCCCAGAAGTCATCGAAACATCTTCAAGTATTATTAGTGAATTAGTTGGTCATAATCACTCACGTCATTGAAGATATCATCATCAAGCCGGCCTGCCGAGGGGATCGACACGACAGCATCCACGATGTAGATGGCGAATCATTCACTTCTTTCCCGTTCTCTGCATATGACCATTGACAATAGTTGAGGTATTTTCTGGGAGCAAGTAAATTCAATTTCTCACTAACTGGTATACTTCGATAACTACTGATCAGCAGGTTAACATCCATGCAGAAAAGCCGCCTGATAGCGAGTCAATACCTGCGCGGTTAACCCGCCTAACATCGGTCGATGTGGTCTACACCTACATAATTGGTGGTGTGTTGAGAAGAACATGGGCTCCGACTCATGGGCCCAGTTCATAACTGAGATCACGTCCAGTCAAGTAGTTACATACATCACCTCGTGTCTCTGGTTGCGTCACAGAGCTTCCTCCATCCACTCCTCTCGTGAGAGCGAAGGCGGGCTGTGTGCCACTACTATCCCTCTTGGTTTGAACGCGTCGTGTAAGGATATGATTCGGTCCCAAGGATATGTATCTGCTGTAATATCTCCATTGTGAGGACTGAAAAGAACCAAGACTTCTCTCAGCGATGACCTCTTGGCCAACGCGATTTCCATGAAACATTGCAGCCAGTACTGCTCCTGGTGTCCGAAATCCGACCAAGACACCATTTTCTTCTCGCAGAGCGCAAAACTGAGAGTGAATTTCTCCAACTTCGGAGCCAGGAGGAGCTCTACCTCTCCCGGCTTGAATTCCAGAATAAGCATCCCCCGTGCTCCCGATGGGCCAATCTGCCACCTGGACAATTTCAACTCTTTAAGTGCTTTGAAGTCAGACAGGTCAAGGAGTGTTCCCCGACCTGTTGGGGCGAGGTATCCTATGTCGAGTTTGACGAGAGAATCTCGATGCCGAAGCAGCATCGGACGGAACATGGGTAGGTCAATATAATTTGTGTTGTTGTAGTAGCTTCCCAAGCGAAAATGAGTCAGTCTTCTAGGCCAGCTCAGCAGACAGGCCAATGCTTCAGCGGTTTCCCGATAGTCCGACAAATCGAGCTCTGTGAAATCAGCCTCCTCCTCAAGATTCTAGTATTCATTCACGTCAGCATTTTTAAGGTCTACACCGCTTGAGCTCGAGAATAAGTTAGCTAAGCCTATGGGTGTGGAACTTACCTCCGAGTGCCAGGAATCCGACTGCGATATTCCATCGACTCTCAATTTACGCAAGGATGGAATCTGTAGTTCCTTCATTATAGGACCCAGCGTGAGGCCTGCCAAGGCTTCTCTGCTCAGGATCAGGCACTCGAGCCTTCGCATGAGCTGAACACAGTTTCGAATCGATTCCCAGGTATATTCGCCCTGCTCCAAAGAAAACCCCCCGTGGATCCCAAGCACTCTGACCTCAGGAAGCAATCCGATCAGATCTATCAGAACGTCAAAATCGGCAGGTGAGACGTTTGTTGTGAAGTCCGATATGTAGAACCAGAACTCTTGGCAATAGTGGCCGAGTGACGGGTTGTTCAGGAGAGTGTCGCGAAGCAGCCTTACTCGGCGGCTTGGGGGAGCAACGAATGTCGGCCACTCAAATCGTATTGAACGGTAGTTGAATGGGATAGCTAGGCACGCAAACCGCTGACAAACAGACGCCAAAATGGCGATCAGGTCCTTGTCATACTGATTCCTCTCCGGGGAATCCAGTCCAGAATCCCCCTGGGGCAGGATTGCAGCCTTGATAATCCTGACCAGTATCTCATCCGGCAAATCCAGAATCAGTGTTGATGTTTCTCGTGCGTCTGTGCTTGCAGACTCGTGTCAACACTCAGACCTTGTGGGATGGATATGGTGGCGCAGCTTACGTCTCGTCCATGAAAGTTCCATCGTTCAAAAACCGGAAGCCATGAGGCAGCCGAGCATAACGCATCGGGTATCGAAGTAACGTCAATGGCCTACCGTGCTCTTGTTCTAAGCAGGTCCCTGCTTCCATGACACGCAATGAATGCCCCGCATGCAGGGCAGGACAGGGAGGGAGGTAAGGCAAGGCGTACAGGGCGGATCAACCATTTAAGCCATATATGCGTCACTGTCTGACAACAAACGCGTTCTCAACGGATCTGAACACTCTTAATTTCGTAAGCGTCTGCTAGCCACACCCTTCATATTTTCTGAGCTCCTACGTTGTTTGAACAGTTCAAGATGCTTCGTAAACGTCAGTTATTGACTGCCCGATCATACCTAACAGCTACACCCACCCACTGTTACTAAGCGTCGCGGGAGGAGCCCTGTGCTGTTCCCAAAGCATCTGACATGTAATACATGGAGTTTAGTGCAAGAATTTTCATTCGAAAGGGACGATTTTGCTGAAAATTCAACTCATGGCTGGGCCAATGAAATACCAGCATCCTTACACGTGCCCAATGGAACCCAAACTATTGGTATATATCCCCCTAATGACCAGCAATCAGGCAATCTTTGTGGTTCAATACATTCGAATGGCTTTATGTATGACGTATCAGGAATTGAGGTAATATTATTACGCTCACTGCGGATGTGATGTAAATATACATCACGGACAGTGATTCACATGACATAAAGATGTTAAGCACCATCCTTTTACAGCTACAAGAGCATGTTTGAACAAGAGCAGAGGTTAGTCATGATCGTATGTTTAAAGATGGGCTTTGCTATGTTCAAACTAGGCGCGGCTACGTTTGGTTGGCGCCCGTCGTACCCGTCCTTGGCCGATCCTACGCCGAAGGTTTCACAGAAAAGCCTCATTCTTGCCCTTTCACTTTGTGTCAACCCGTTGGATTGATGAATCAGAGGTCCCCCAAAAGGACACAGATGTGTTTACAGTAGTGGCCTGAATACCAACTAATATAGTGCCTCACAAATATCATAGGTCTCAACTAGCAATGAAACGGAAGGAGATCAGTAGACGCCTCAAAACAAAAGTCGAAAACCTTTCCCAACGTGTCTGTACATTCTCACTGGCCCGGCTCGTCGCAGGCCTAGTGGAGTAGCGCCACCAAACAAACTCTTCTAGAATCCAGAGTGCATCTTCCGCTGCACATTAAGCGAGCCAGCTCGGGAGTGCCGACGGGAAGGGACAGGGGCCAGGTTAGATCAGGAAGTAAGGTAGCATTTCTGGCTCACCGCTATATTCGGTCACTTCAGCGCTGGCTGTTGCCCACTCCTGTTGCCAGCCCCTTGGGTACGATGAGCTTTCACCGGGCTGGGATAACAAGGCTACCAACGTGCTTTACCCAGTGAAGACTCCGGGTCAATATTTTTCCATGTACCCAGTCTAAAAGCCCCTGTTTTAAGATAATTCGGTCTTTTTCAGTAAATTCGAGGTTGCTAATACATGGATCCATGTATGTGCTGGTCTAGCAAGAGGTGGAATGTCTTCGTCTTCACCCAGGCTCCAGGAGATGTACCTACCCTACACCCATAAGAATCATCCCTTTCTCGAGGAATAATGCTATCTATTACATATCCAGTACTTAGTTTTACTCAAGGCAAATTATTTACATGTCTACTTAATGAAAATATGATCACTATTACAACTATTATGTCTCGTGTGTTCCCTGTTGGGCTCCTTAGGAATTACGTACAGGAGGGAATGAGTATCACGCCGTTACTTTCCATGACTTCTGGTTTTCCTTATTCTTTTCTACTTTACATTGCTTGTGGTACGAAGCGTGTTCTTCCACCAATCTTAAGGATACATAATAAACTTACCTTAGAAAGTCACTTGCTACTCACTGCATTTATCGTACTCAGTGGACGCACCAGGTTAAGTAGCATACAGAGGCTATAACCTTCGCCATGTGCACCAAGGCTACGAAGATTATTCCTAGAGAGGACTACGCCGTGCTGAAGCATGTGCCATAGCGCAATGGAATATATCATGTCTATAGCTACAGACATGGCTATGGCTACAGATAGAAACACCCAACACAAACATACACGTACCACCCCATCAATCGCCTCGATAGATCAAGGTGAATGATCCAGATGTTAACCATGGTCTCCACGGACACATCTAAATGTTTTGGTAAATCAACGATGATTCCTTTAGGTGCATGTATGTAAGCTTGTAAAGACTATTCTAGCGGCGTTTGATTTGAAAGTGTATTTCCAATCTTTCTATAACCGCGATGTTGGGAGACGACATGGATATGGTAAAGGTTATTCCGGCCAGCATCTTAGCCCAGACGGCTGGTTAATAATCATGTGCGAAGATCAACACTACAAAATCAGCTGGGAACACTTGCATGAATCGATCAAATACAATGTGAGCGCCTGCGAGGGGTAGCAGAAAGATGTTTGTCGTCCAAGCCCAGTGGCAAACACACCGGTATTTCAGAAAGAGCTGAAAATGCCTCATTTTTATACTACAGCTTATCTTGTGTTCTATTGGAAGGAGATGTCGCATTTTCCATTAGTAGTTCTTCTGTCTGCGCAGAACCAAGATTCAAATCTTCCAAATTACTGTAAACTGGGATCACAAATATGGGAAAATTGGGGAAAATGCCAGACATTTTAACTCCTAAATGACATATCTCGCAAGGGCCAAATGGTATATCTATCGCGTGGCAGCTATTCACCTGCAGAGATTGGTCAAAATGAATCCAGGTGGACATGCAACCCTATGCACTGAGCAGCCGCTGACGAAAAGCTGCACATTCGGGCAGCCACACACACACAAGCACATTCACCTGTGGCTGCCTTATTTGCTTTTCTGGGGACAATAAACATCATCCAGAGCAATCAAACACTTCATCCTTCCATCATCACATTCTCCAAGGATTCAACCCAACATACGAGGCAGCCTTCAAGTTGTTTAACAACATCGTTATCGGCTCGCTGGCAGCTCTTGTCAGCTAGGTGCTCTCCAGAAATGCAGTCATCAGAGGCTGCCTTCGCTCAGGCTTTTGAAGTTACCCCGCTTCAGCAAATGAATTGTCGCTACTTTGCCCTTGGTGCGTGCAAGTATGGCGATGGGTGCCGGTACGGCCATCCTGAACCAATAAGAAAGATACCAAACGATGAATTTGCGGCACTCGAGATAAGCCATGAGCCGACCTCAGACTCCAGGCAACAAATCCCCTGCAAATTCTTTGCATGGGGTCATTGTAAGAGAGGTCTGGCATGCTCTTTTGCTCACGCAGCAACGCCAGAGCATTCCCAACACGCAAACGAGGATTTCGAGGTGAGTAATACACCTTTGGTCGCTCACCATAATATAAAACAAGGTATTATGAGAAGCTGAAGAGGCATACTGATTTATGATTCTGTTCACAGGAGCCAGAAGATGGCGACAGCGGTGCGAGAGAGTTAGGCGGTGCGATCGTGCAATTTGGAGACGGAGCCACGGTCTCGGCGGTCTCGCTCCGAACCGAGTTTTACTCCTTTCGCTTGAACTACCTGCCAGGAGGGGCAACCTTGGAATCTGTTGCGGCCTTGCTGGCTGATGTGGGTGTTAATATTGAGCCAAACAAGACTCGTGTTACTGCCATGACCGGCAACGACGCCTCCGTCTGCTCATCAGCCGAAATCAACACAGCAGAGCCAACATCCCTAGAGGAAATGCGGATGAAATTTGTCGCTGTTCCAGGAGGCAAAGATATTGAAGTCGTGGGCATTCCCCAACGCATTGTGCAAAGTTCAAATACTCACACCATCGACTGCCGGAGAGTCCATTGCTCTTGGTATCGTCCAGTCCGCACTGCTTGGCTGGATTTTGGAAACGAGTCAATTGCGGAGAGAGTTTCACGGGGGTTTCGATCGGGAAGATACAAAATCGGCGACCGGGAAGTTACAGCGTCCGAGCCCAGTGGAACAACCATGCGCGCTCTTCAGGCATATACGGTCACCTTGACTAACCTCCCGCCGTACATCACGAAGGAGAAGATACTTTGCATTATTGGGAGGAATCTTCTTCCTCGAAACATTGAGATCTCAGAGCCTGCTTACAACGAGGAAGAGGATACGGCTATTGCGCAAATTCAGTCCCTTCTCACAAGCGTTGGTGAAGTTGAGGGAGATCCAGTTGTGTCAAGATCTGGCTTGAAGAGATTCAAAATACAGGCCAAGTTTGCACACGAAGCTGATGCACGAACAGCTGTCTCTAAACTACACGATTCAGCGCTCCCCTTTTATTCCAGAGGGAGACTCACTGTACAACTGGTAATCTCAGCCAAATTCAAGGTGCTCAACCGGGTTTATCAAGCTGTAGAGCAGCGCATTAAGGAGCAAAGACAGGCTTGGATGGATTCGAAGGCGTTTCTAAGAGTTTACCCTCCTTCCGCGGCTTTTACATGCCTCAAGCTCGAGGGGCAAGATGCCAAGCAAGTAGCGTCCGTCAAGCAAGAACTTGACGTGATTCTAGCAGGTTGCGTCGTCGAACACAACGGGCAGGCTGTGTGGAGAGAGGCCTGGGGCAAAATGAAGAATATCTCCAGCATACTGAAGCCTATCGAGCAAGCTTTCGACGTATTCATTTGCCGCGACACTCTTAGACGGCAGCTTCGAGCCTATGGCCCTTCCAAGAGCTGCATGGAAGCTGCCAAGCGCCTGGAGGAATTAATGCATATCGATAATGAATTTCGCTTTGAGATCCCCCTCGGCTCGGGCGATTTCCGATGGGCTTGTCAAGGGGGGCATAACGAACTCTCTTCAGCCCTAGACCCGAAGCCAGTAACACTGGATGTAGTCTCCAACCCGAAACGGATCATCATTCACGGCAACCAGGAAGATTACGAAAGGGCATTGGCATTGCTCCATGGCGCGAAGAAGCAACTGACCAGGGTAACGACGACAGATAAGGACTGTTCGGCCTGCTGGACTGAGGCAGAATGCCCCGTTCGAACGCAGTGTGGTCATGTGTACTGCTCTGGGTGCTTTGAAGCGCTTTGTTCATCGAAGTCTGCCACCGACTCTGATATGTTAATTCGGTGCGTGGGCGCCGAGGACACTTGCAGACGAATTCTTCCTCTAAGTGAGCTGCGAGAACATCTCTCATCCACAACCCTGGAAGACATTCTGGGTGCTTCGTTCTCGTCTTATATCGCCAGGAACGCCTCTGAATTCCGATACTGCCCAACTCCCGACTGTGACATGGTATACAGAGTGGCCAAGGAGGGAGCCAAAGTGCCCCCGGCTCACACATGTGGAAAATGCCTGATCAGCCTTTGCACATCCTGCCATGCATCGCATGAGAACCAAAGCTGCGCTGAGCATAAATCACAAATACCCGACCCGAGAGTTGAAACTTTGAAGAAGAACTTGGGTATCAAGGACTGCCCGAAGTGCAAGACGTCAATGGAGAAGATAGATGGATGTGACCACATGACGTGCCAGGGCTGCGGAGCACATATCTGCTGGAAATGCCTGGAGAGTTTCAAAAGTGGCAGAGACTGTTATGCTCATTTAAACAGGATTCATGGAGGAATCATGGACGTGCCCCGTGGGCTCTGAGTACTGGGGCAGATCACAGTGACTGATGTGGACGGATGACATTCACGACAGGGGCCGTCCGTTGCAGGGATGCCTTCAGTCTTCCTGAGGGAGCACTTAGATAGATGCCTAAATTGATAGAATGTCCTTGATCCTTCGTTGCCTCTAAAGCTTAGACTCGTTGATTTATGCAATTAATGTTTTCCGACTCAGGCAGGGATCGGCTTTGATGTAGCTACAGTGGGGGTCTAAAAGTTTGTCAAAAAACGCGGCGCCTCTACATCCGCGATGCGTTTTTTAAAATATAATACTATAACCCTTACTTTTTAAATATATATAATTTTATAAGATAATATCTAAATTAAGAGCTTTTAGTAATATTATATCTAGAAATTATTCCTTTAAATAGGAAATTAAACCTAATATTTATATAGTAATTATTATAGTAGTTATAGCTAGTTAAAAGTAAAGTACTATTATATATACTTTTTATATATTACTAAGTATAATAACCTAGATTCTTTAATACTTTAAAGAGATAGATTTTTTAGAGATATCTTTAAGATCTAGATAACTTAAGGTTCTCTTACTTTAAGAAAAGTATACTATTATTTATAGTACTTATATAGACTACTATATTATATAGAAATAGTTTATTATAGACCTAGATCTTAATATTAGCTCTTTAACTATTAAGAGGGCTTTAAATAAGGATAATATATATAAATAGAGGTCTAAGAAATAAATAGTATTATTAAAAGAAGTAGCTACTTAATAGCTTTTTTTTATATATTTCTAAAGTAAAAAAGAAGATAAATTAGTAGAGGTCTATATAAGTAAATATAATATATTAGTTTAGCTCTAATATAGCTATCTAAGTTATCTTTTTAGATAAGTATATAATCTAAAATAGCTACTTAAGCCCTAATAAATAGGTTTAAAGATATATATATAAGGCTTATAATCCTAAATTTATTAATATTTAAGATTATATATAGCTAGAAATTAAGATAATAGTATAAATAGCTATATAGAAAGAAGGTAAGAGTAAATTAGTAATTATAATATATAATAAGCTTACTAAGAAGAAGGGCTTTAGCTTTATTAGTTATATTATTACTCTAGAGGAAGGTCTACTTTTAATTTATAATAGTATATATTATTTTTAGTAAGATAATACCTCTATTTATCGCTTTTATATAATAGAAGCTTTCCTCCTTAATAGTGTGATCTTACTTATTAACTAGCTTAGTTATAGCCTAGATCTTAACCCTATTAAATATATATAGGTAATATTAAAGAGGTATATAATAGTTAGTTAACTTACACTAGATAGGGTCTAGGGTAGGTTAAGGTTAAACTAATTAGAGTATTATTCTAAGTAGTATAATTAAGTTATCTAAGTACTATATAAGTTACTATTAATATATAAGTATTAAGGAGCTAGTTTTAATAAAAGTAATAGTAATTATATTAATAATTATCTAAGAGAGTACCTCTACTTAAGAAATAAATATATATATATAATAAGGTTATTACTATCTTATTATTAAGTTATTACTTTACTTAAGTAATAAGTTAATTTTATTAATCCCTAAAGTAGAGCTTATTAATCTACCTTATATATAACTTCCTATAGCTTAATAAAGGCCTTTATTTATAATATAATACCCCCTCTCTATTAATCTTATCTTTAAGGCTAACTTATTATACTTTATTATTCCTAGTATATACTTAGCCTTATATTTATTTATATTATATATATATTAATAAGATATTTAGCTATATCTTAAAATAAAAGAAATCTAACTTAGTATATAAATATACTTAAAAATCTAAGTATATTCTTACTTATAAGTTTAAGGTTATACCTTATACTAAGTATATAAAAAAGGATATAAATTATTTTATTATCCTAAGTTTAAATTATTATATTATATATATTTATATTAATTACTTATATAATAGTATTTATTCCTTAATATTTTTAAGTATATTACTCTTTTCCCTAACTCTTCTTATATATATTAACTTATTTATAATTAAAAAGATTAATAAGGAGCTATTATATTTAGAGGATAAGGAGTTAAAGGCTAAAGTAGAGTTAGCTATAGTATTTATATAGATTTTATATTTATAAAAGATATAAAAATAACTCTATAAGAAGGGTATAAAAATATTAAAAAAAGAGCTAAATAATATAGAGGAATTAAAAGAGGAGGAATAAAAGGAAGTAAAAGAGAGAAGTTATTAAAAAGAGCTAAAATAAATATAAGTTTAAGAAGCTAAGCTTATATTTTAAGTCTAAACTTCTTATACTATATAAGCTATTAATTTTTCTAGCTTTACTTTTAATCCTTTTATAAAAGATCTTTTTAGTAATATTACTTAAGGTAAAATTATTAATCCTTCTTCTTTTAGTAAAATTAATATATTAAATATTAATAATTCTTTAAATATTTAATAAGTTCCTATATATTATTATTCTTATTATAACTTTTCTATTTTACTAAATAGAATATTTATTTATTTCTAACTTTTTTCCTTAAGATTTTTTCTAGTTTAAATTCTTCTTTATAAACTTTAATTAAATAATCTTAATTTAATATATTTTCTAGTACTTTTTTAAGTAATAAAATATAAAAAACTAAGTAAATATATATAGTATTTAGTAATAATAGTTTATAATTAGTATTTAATTTTTTATTTTTAATTTTAAATAATTTAAGTTTTTTATAATTTAATTTATTACTTAACTTTATTATTATAATATTTTTTTAAAGTAAATAGACTTTATCTCTCTCCTCTAAGATTAATCTCTTTAATCTTATTTTATTATAATATTTCTTTATTCTTTATTATATAAACTTTAGTTTAACTTATATTTCTATATATAATAAATATAATATTTCCTTTATAAGTATAATAATAAGTATTATTAATTTATTAAGTTTTAGTTTATTTAAAAACTTTAGTTTATAACTATAGTTTATATATATTAATAATAATTAAGTTAATTCTTATACTATATTATTATATATAATTTATACTATAAGTAATAATTATACTTAATTATTCTATTTATAATTAATATATATTTATAGGTATTATTTTAATATTTAGTTTAAATATTTTATTTATTTATTACTCTATAAGTAGTAAGTTATTAAAAGTTTATACTTTATATCTATTTATACTATAAGTAATTATTAGAACTTAAAGATAAATATTATTCCTCTATTTAATATTATTTTATTAAATAGTTTATAATCTATAATTATATATTATAAGATTTAATATATAAGATCTTCTATAGAGTTTACTTCTTTATATAGTATAAAGTACTTATACTTTATAAGTTTATTAATAATTACTAGAATACTATTATATTTTACTTTAGTTATTAATTCTTTAAATAATAATAGTTTAATAATATAGTTAAAAAATATTAATTACTATAGTTATTTTAATATTAAAATTAATTTAAGTTCTTTATATAGTTTATATTATATTAATTTAATTTATATATAAGTATTATATTTTAAAACTATAATTTATACTTCCTTTTATAGACTAAGGTAATTATAATATTATTTAATTCTATTAAAGGTTTTTTTAACTCTTTAATATCTTAAGAGTAAATATTTATAGATTTCTTTAATAAGTATTATTCTTACTTTTTATTATAATTTCTTTAAACTTAGGATAATATCTATTTAGATCTTAATATATACTTCTTCCTTAAATATAACTTTTAAGGTTTTTTATATTAAGTATTTATTATTATTAATTAAAAATAATTACTTATTTATTTTTAGAATTATTTATTTATACTTAAGTTTTTAGCTAAAGGTATTAGCTTTTTTATTTTTTAATCCTTTTTAATATATAATTTTATAATTAAACTTTAATAAATATTTAATATAATATATTTATCTTTTATTAAGTTATTATATTATAATAAAATATTAAATATTCTTATAATCTATATAGACTTTTACTTTATATTATATTTCTAAGTAATAGTATTTAAACTCCTTAAATATATATATAATAGCTATAAACTCCTTATTATAGATAAAGTAATTAAATTCTACTTTATATAGTTTCTTTAAGAAGAATATTATAAAGTATAATACTTTATTATTATCTTTTTAATTAAGTTATATATTAATTATAAAGTTTAATATATTAATCTTAAGTTTTACTTCCTTTATAGGGTTAAATATTTATAATATAAATTCTAAAAGAATTTAATTTTTTATTTTATTAAATACTTCCTATTATTTTATATTTTATTAAAATTCTATTTCCTTTTTTATAATATTATATAAAGGTAAAGTAATCTTTTTATAATCTTTAATAAATTATTAATAATAATTAATAAATCTAAGAAAGGCTTATACTTCCTTAATAATACTTAATATCTCTTAATCTTTAATTATAGTAATCTTACTTTATTCTATTTAGATTTTATTTAATTAAATAGTATATTTTAAGAAGTTAACTTTTTATATATAAAAATAGCTTTTCTTTAATTCTATTAGAAGTTTTACTTCTTTTAATTTTCTTAAAACTTTATATATATATTCTTTATAAATCTTTAAATTATTAGAAAATACTAAGATATTATTAAAATAAATAATTATAAAGATATTAAGATACTCTTAAAGTACTTAATTAATTATTTACTAAAATATTATAGATATATTTATTAATTTAAAAGGTATTATAAAATACTTATATAAGTTAAACTTTATTTTAAAAACTATTTTCTATTTATCTCTTTTTTTAATTTATATTAAATTATAAACTCCTTTAAGGTTTAATATAATAAATTACTATTTACTTTATAATTAATCTTTAAGTTCTATAATTAATAATAAAGGTATTTTATCTTTATATATAATCTTATTAAGTTATTAATAATCTATAATAAGTTATAGTTTCTTATTTTTCTTTAATATAAATATTATAAAGTATTCTATAAATAAAGTTAATAATTATATATAGCCTTTTAT